TTATTTTTTATACTTCTTATATTTCTTATATTTCTTATATTTCTTATATTTCTTATATTTCTTATATTTCTTATATTTTCTTGTATTTCTTATATTTCTTATATTTCTTATATTTTTTATATTTTTTATATTTTTTATTTTTTATATAATATATTACTTAATTAATTTATAATAAACTTTCTTTTATTAATTTAATTTATAAATTCTTAAACTTTAAACTTAATATAATTTCTTTAAATTATTAAAATTATTAATTATATATTTTAATTATTTATATATAAAACTTATATATTTAGAAACTTATATTTATTTTATTTCTAAGACAAATTATATAAAAAAATTAATTAAAATTTATAAAACTTATTTTTATAAAGCTTTCTTAAATCTTTTTTTTTTTTATATTTTTTTCTAAGCTTTATTTATATTTCTAAAGCTTTTTTTATTCTTATGAATTATTATAACCTTTATTTATATATATTCTTATAATCTTATATATTCTTATAATCTTATATATTCTTATAATCTTATATATTCTTATAATCTTATATATTTTTATAATTTTATATATATATAAGATCTTTTAAGCCTTATTTATATTTATAAAATTATTTTATAAATTATTATAATTCTTATTTGCCTTAAGTTCTTTATTAATTATATTCTTATTTATAGTTTCTTTTTAGTTTTTATTTATATTTATAAAGCTTTTTTTTTATAAATTAATAAAATAAAATAAAATTTAATTTATTTTTAATAAAATAATTTAATTTATATTTTTTATATAATATATTTTTTATAATTTATTTTCTTTTATTAATTTAATTTATAAAACTCTTTTTTATATTATATTAATAAACTTATATTTATAAACTTATATTTATAAACTTATATTTATAAACTTATATTATATTTATAAACTTATATTTATAAACTTATATTTATAAACTTATATTTATAAACTTATATTTATAAACTTATATTTAATATATTAAATTTAGTTTATTTTTATTTATTATTTCTAATATTAATTATATAAAAAAATTAATTAAAATTTATAAAAAGCCTTTTTAATAATAAAAGAAATAATATTTTTATAAAGCTTTCTTAGCTTTTTCTTTTCTTTTTCTTTTTATTCTTTTTTAGGCCTTATTTATATTTATAAAGCTTTTTACTTTTCTTTATAAATTATTATAGTTTTTATTTATATATATAAAACTTTCTTTTTCTTTTTATAAATTCTTATAGCCTTATTTATATATATAAAGCTCTTTTCTCTTTTTTATAAACTCTTTTAAGCCTTATTTATACTCGTAAAGTTATTTTATATAAATTATTATAGCTCTTATTCCTATTTATAAAATTCTTTTTTTTTATAAGTTCTTTTAAGTTTTACTTGCTTTTATAAATTTTATATTACTTATATTCTTATACTTATAAAGCTTTTTTTTTCTTTTTATAAATTATTATAATTATTTTTCTTGCTTATAATTCTCTCTAAATTATCTTATAAGCTTATAAAGCTTCTTTTTTCTTTATATAAATTCCTATAGCCTTACTTTTACTTATAAAGCTCTTTTTCTTTTATAAGCTTTTTAAACCTTATTTGCCTTAAGTTTCTTATTAATTATATTCTTAAATATAATTTCTTTTTAGTTTTTATTTATATTTATAAAGCTTTTTCTTTTTTTTTATAAATTATTATAGCTTTTTTTATTTATATATAAAATTCTCTTTTTCTTTTTATAAATTCTTATAGCTTTATTTATATATATAAAGTTCTTTTCTTTTTTTATAGGCTTTTTTAAGCCTTATTTATTATAGCCCTTACTTTTATTTATAAAACTCTTTCTTTTTATATTTTCTTTTAAGTCTTACTTATCTCTATAAGTAACTTATTATTTATATTCTTATTTATAGCTTTTTTTTAGCCTTTATTTATATTTATAAAGCTTTTTCTTTTTTTATATAATTTATTATAGCTTTTTCTTTTATTTTTTTTTTTTTTAAGCTATCTTATAAGCTTATAAAGCTTCTTCTTTCCTTATATAAACCCTTATAGCCTTACTCTTACTTATAAAGCTCTCTCTTATATCTATAAAACTTCCCTTAAGCTTACTAGGTATTAGGATTATAGTATGTAATATATGGAAGTTTTGGTGTTCCTCACGTGACCTGTATTTTTGGAAGCCTTGAGAGCTAGCCAGTGCCTTAAGAATTTCCCTCGCCCCCTCCCGAGCTTTAAAAAATCGTAATAAAAGCCCCTTGCATTCCAGAACTACTAAAATATAAAGAAAGATACTTGAGCTTCTCCTCTCTTATCCTAAGCTAAGCCCTAAGGATTTGGACGTAATTATGTTCCAATGCGCGATTCCCTAGAAGAGAGAGATTCTAGTATTCCTTACGTGACCCGCTTTTTCCAGGGAGTACTGGGAGCCAACCGCTTAGGATAGTCCGAATATAGGACAATATAGAAAAGGACGAGTTTAGGGCCGCTTCGCTAAAATTATTGCTAGCGGCCCTATATAAGCTCCGGGGCTAGTAATAATTTTGCCCTAAACTTGTTCCGAGTAAGTTTGGAATATAATAAAGGCTTTTAGCTAAGTATATAAATCAGGTACGGATTCTTTACGGACCCTTTATAAATAATATAAGAAGAAAAATAGCCCATAAATATATAAAGTCAGCTATAAGTAAGTTAAAAGCTAAGTAAGACCTTATAATATTTCTGGGTATACTATATTACTCGTACGGTTTATATTAGGGGATAAAAGAATATAAAGCCCTGCCTATAAGGTTACTCGTAAGGCTGCTATATAGAACTGGCCATAAGAAAAGACCGGGAACTATAAATCCACCCCTACTACCTCAAATAACTAGCCCTATAACTTATTAATAGTTATTATAAAGGATAAAGCAAGTAGAAACTGCTTACGGGAGAGCATAAAAGACAGTTACTAATCCGTAGACTAGAGCTTAATCCATGGAATCGTCCATAACTGGCCGTTAAAGTCACTACCTAGTAGCTATACCCGAATTAAGAATCTCCTAAAGCTATATATTAATATCCGTAACCCGTTATATAGCCCTTCCTACAGATAGAGATTTCATAAGAGTATTACGGGTATATTAATCTTGAGTCATAGCTTAGAAAGAAGTAGACCCGGTAAATAGATACTCTATAAGACCTCTAGTAGTAATTCTGTAATCTCAGGATCTGCCTTATTTATATTAGCCGAATCTATTACGAAATACGTCCGTTCCTGGCCAGGGAGTATATCCAGGATTATTTAGTTAAGCTTGCGGACCATATTATTCAGGATTAATAGGATTGCCCGTCTACTAAAGGCCCGGTAGTTATACGGGGCCCGCAAGAGTTATTCTCACAGGTAGACGTAATTAATCAGGTCCGTAACTAACTAGGTATACGGAATAAAAGGCGGGAGTATAATCTGTCTATTCAAGAACAGGTCGTATAATAGATAACTAATCTAGTCTATAAAATCCTATTTAGACGGGTTATTACGGACCCGTATATTAATCCGTAATAATAACTAATAGAGCCATAGCCAGATCTATATCTGCTATAAGCAGGTCCGTACCATATTAGCCTGCGAATCATATAGGACTACTAGTAAGATCTGGGCAAAGTTCCCCCCGAGAATTACGGGTATTCCTCTAAAGAGAATATTATCCGCAACCGACCGTAAATCGACCATTAGCTAGTATACTATCTCAAAGTAGTACTTGTACTATATGGGTACCTTATTCCAGATAATTAGGTCTATAGATTACAAGAGTGCCCCGAGCCGGCTCGTCTTAGTAATCATACTTACGGACGACTTATTAAGCTCGAGCGGGATCCGGAACTAGAAATAAGATATACGTCTGTCCGGGAAAAGGAGAGCTATAATACCCGTTAATACTATATATAGGACTACCTTACTTTGGCTACGGTAATAGTAATAGAGGGTCTTATAAAGGAACGTCTTACTAGTCCCGCCCGGGCCTTGTAAATAGAAGTAGGCCGTCTGCAAATCGTCCGTAATTACTACCATAATTATCTAGAAGCAAGAGTACTAGTCTACGTTTAGCTAGGCTTGTATTACGGTCGCCAGTAATATCTTATAGGTATAATCGACCTGCAGATTAGCCATACGGTAGCTTATGATCTAATTAAAGATATTCTCAGGCAGGGCAATATCCGTAAATATTTACTAGAGATCCGTAAGGCCAAGACCAAGTAAAAAGAGGCCGTAATTATAGTAAGGATTAACTAAGGGTAGCGGGAAGTCAATTAACGGGTTGTAGGCGAGCTTGCGGGCCAAGTTATTATAGAAATACTCCTTATACCGGTTCCAGATCGCTTATATATCCGTAATTAGCTACTAGCGGATACCTATAAGAAAGAGCGTCCGTAAATCATGGCCGGTTATTAATAAAATAGCCTTATTAAAGTACTAGAACTACTTCTAATTATTCTCTGCCAAGCTATAGGTAATACAGGTAGTATAGTATATAGGATAACGGATACTCTCGACCAAATATAGCTCATTAAAGGACTACGGACCGTATATAACTATTAGTAAGAGCCATAAGTAGAACCGCTTGCCCGAAACTGGGCTATAGTAGTAAATATGGCTAATATTATACCCTCGCTTATAGGGCTTCTATATCCGGGTCTTGGTAACCTATATAAAGTACTATAGGAACTTGTAGTAGAGGTACTAGCGGCCGTTCTTATATATTATATTATACTTAAAGAAAGCTATTAAGGTTAAACGGGCATTTACGGCCCGGTCCGTAATTTGCTCGGGTAAGAGGTCGTCCGTAAAGCAGACCGTATACTACCCAGGGAGGTGGATTACCAAGTACTAGACCGGAGGGAACTCCTGGTATATTAGGTACTCGAACAGGTACCAGAAAGCCTCTATAGGGCCTATATACCGAGCTTAAAGGTATTAGATAATCTTATTATCCGTTTCTGAGATTATAATAGTTATATGGTCTGTTTCTTTATAGATATACTTATAGATATACTTGATTACTTATACGGAAGCGCAAATCTCGATATTAATATAGGAGCGGAACTTCTGGAGGAGATACGGGTTATATAGAATGACCTAGCGGTTATTACGGACGACTTCCTGGCCTGGAAAGCCTGGTTTGCGGACCATAAACATATAGCCATTATTCCGGTACCGGTACTCGGAATACCCATTTTTATAGATAATTATTATAGCCGCAAATGCCTTAGGGAACCTCTTCTGGTATATAAGCGGGGCTATAGGTATCTTACGGACTATATACGGGGCTTTCGGATTATCTTTAAGGCTATATGGTCCGTAAGATATCTAACTAGTTACTATGGTTATAAGTTCGCCTATAGGATCCTATAACGGGTCTGGGAGCTCGGTATAAACAACTTTATTAACTAAATCGGGAGTTAAGAAGACGGCTTCCCTCCTAAGGAATAAGAGCAGATATATATACGGGAGGCTATACTTCTAGTATTTAATCGTATATATATGGCCTATATATAGTCCGAAAAGGTAATTCTTTAGGTCCGCAAGTAGCTCTCTTATCTTTAATATAAAGACCCGGCAAAGGAGATCCGGATAATTAATGGCTTACTACCCGTTTAAGAGATAATCTGTAATCTCAGGCTAGTACGGGTTAGCCATAAAGGTAATAAAGAAGCTTGGCTTACTAAAGTATTATATAATAGCCATTAAGTCTTAAAAGAGCTACTATATAAAGTAATTACTGCCCGTAAAGCTTAACGAGAGGATAAAGCAACGGCTAATATTACCCGTATAGACATCCTTACGAATTAGAGTATCTATAAGTCCTATATATATATCCGTACGGATATTTTGCTAGTATAAGCAGAGCTAGTCAAGCGAGATAGTCTTGCAGGTAATATACGTATTAATAATATACTACTAAAAGAGGCAGCTAGTATAAAAGAGCAGGAAGAAAGCCAGACAAATATAGAGGTAGTACTAGTAAAAGACCTGCTACTCTAGTCATATCCGCTAACGGGTCCTATTATGGTCCTATAACTACAAACCGTAGTACTAGCCCGGGTCGCCGTACGGGAAAAGCAAGACATAATAGAGTGGTATATATGCTATATATATAATATTAACCATATATATTTGCGGATACTTGCAGCCTGCCTTACGGACCATAAATACCAGATTGCAGTGGCTTATATCCATATACTCGTCCGGGATAAGGGCTATAACCTCATTGCTCGTTAGGAGGTTCTTATAATAATAATTAGTACCCGACTCAAGAATTAAGTATATTTGCGGGTTAAGTAAAATCCGGAAATCGGTTTACTAGCTTACAAGATACTTATAGGCTATCTTATAGACCGTAATAAACGGATTATAATCCGTAAGTATATCCGTAAGCTATAAAAGAACTATATAATCTAAGTAAGGGAAGTTAGTAGCCCGTATATTAGTTATAAAGAGCGGATCATAAAAGAAGAGCTATATAAAAGAGGGTTTGGTATATAAAGCGGGCTATAGCGGGCCTTGGAAGTGGAAGAGCTCGCCATAGATCTGAAAGTACTAGATCCTACAGGAGAAGTCAATCCGGGTATCCTTCTTATAGCTAATTAATATAAAGGCAAAAGTATAATTATATACCCGGATATTTGTCTAGAAGGCCTAATAGAGCGGGTTATTGCCCGTAAAGAGGTAAGAGAGGTATAGAGGAGGCTTGCGGATCAGAGGAAGTATTACGTCGCCCTTCTTATAATAGGCCTTAAAGCAATTATCCGTATAGCCAAAATAAAGAGCTCCGCAAGCTATATAGTAACCTGTAAGCGGACCAGTTATATATACGGGAGCTGGCCGGAAGCGGGAGAGGAAGGCAGGAGGCCGTATAGTAGGTAGGTCGGTAGGAGGGTCCTCTATAATATAAACTAGGGCCGCAACGGACAGTTAACGGATCCATTACTAGTACTATAGGGCTGGCTCGTCCGCAGAGACGTCTATAATCGACCGTTATTATTGCCGGAAGGTAGGGAGGGTATTCGGATCGAGTTCTTGTAAGGCAGGGCGCCGCTGGGTATAATTAGTAGTATTTCGGGCCTATTAACTGGTTAATTAAGCCAGAAAAGGGGAAGGATATAAACTCGATAGTGAGAGCAAGTTTTATATGGCTTAGCCCGCTCTGTAATAAAGTCAGAAGCAGGCCGGTTTTGCCTACAGGAAGTATAAAAGCGGGGAGGATCCATAGTAATAAAGAGAAGAAAGAGAGAAAAGTAATATAAGGTCAGGATTTCTTTTCTTAGTGCCTTCTACGGAACCGCTAGCTTTAGATTTTCCCCCGAGCTTTAAAAAATTATAATAAAAGCCCCTTGCATCTCAGAACTACTAAAATATAGAGAAAGGTACTCGAGTATTCTCTCTATAATCCTAAGCTAAGCTCTAAGGATTTAGACGTAATCGCGTTCTGATGCGCGATTCCCTAGAAGGGGGCGATTCTGGTGTTCCTCACGTGACCAGTTTTTTTCCAGGAGTTCCGGGAGCCAACCGGTTAAGGGTGGTCCGAACGTAGCTCAATATAAAGAAGTAATGGAGAAAAATGCGTTATTACATTATTATTATACGCTAATCCATTATGGGGGGCTGCATGGGATGTCGATTGCGGCCGCCTGGGGAAGGGTGATGTGCTGGTTGTGAGGGGCGAGATTCCAGTTGCGGGATACCGTTTGTTGGGGAGAAGTACCAGTTGGAGTTGTTTTGCCGGATGTTTAGAGAGTACGTGGCATTTTGTGGGTATTGACGAGTATTGTATAAGAAGTGTGAGTCGGCGAGGCCGAAATTGTGGCTGCTTTTACACTGCTCTTCTTGAGATCGGCGGACTAGAAGGGTTCACTTACTGACTGCCAAACCCTAGTTTCCGCTCAAGCCAAAAACTGATTTTTCTCTCGCTATTTATAATACTAATAATTAATCAAATTTTATAAAAATTGATTTTTTTATTTGCTAATAATATGTCTCTCAATTATAGGAATATTTATAAAAGGGTTTCTTTTAATTATTCTTTCATATAGTATTAAAATTCAAAATATATAATTAAGAACTTAGTTTTATAAATAACATTAATTGTGACGGCAGGAATAAAGCAATAGAACGATGCTCAAAGATCTATGATTCCAATGTCCTATAAAATCTAAAGCTAAGGAGAGAAGGAGTGAGGTGTGGCAGTGGATAAGTAGGTACGGCCAAGACCACTGAAAGGCCGAGCTTGGAACCCGAGCTTGCTTTGAACCATAGCTTGGAACCTTAGCTAAAACGAACCCCTATGGCCGAAATCAACCATGTGACACCAGCCGTCACATTAATAATATCTTGTGCTTTAAAATATTAAGATTCAATTAAAGAATATATTGTTTAGCCAAAAAATACAAACATATAAAATTATATTAATAATTGAGAAGTTAATATTAAAGTCAAACTTTGGCTTGGGCGGAAAGTGGGTCTGCCCGGTTGGCCAGTGGAACCTGCTGATGATTTGTGGTTAGAGCAAAACAACCCCGCACCTGCCTTAACTACTGTAGCCTCCTGCTTGCACGAAGCCTTCGAACTTTCAAAAGAAAAGGCGTACAGTAAAAGTTGAAATCAGTTTCAGGTCTCGCTTCTGGGGGCTCTAGCACCGTTATAACAATGGATGACGCTAGAACATCCTTGATTCAAGGCCGTGATAAAGATAGCTCCAACGCGGTTCAGCCGCCTTATCCTTATAACGAGGCAAAGTTTCTCTTCCCAAGCTTCACTCCCTGCCGGTACACACAATACCCAGATGTTCCTAGGGATCAAAGGTGGCCCAAGGTAGAAGAGCCGTTAGAAAGCCCTGGCGCCTACACATTCAGACGTTGGGTTGATAAACCGAATGTCTTTACCTATTCTCGGCTTCCGCCAGGTCGCTCCGTACGACTCATCCGCCTGCAGCGTGGCCAGGGTGACGAAGCCCTATCTTGTTCTCTGTTTACCGCCAATATCGACCATGGAATCCAGTACGAGGCGATTTCCTACGTGTGGGGAGACGCATGGGGACAAGCCAAGATATTCCTCGACGGAATCCCCTTCAAGGTCACGAGAAACCTCTACACTGCGCTGCAGTGCATTAGGTCACCAGCTAATGGAAGGGTCCTTTGAGCAGACGCCATCTGCATTAACCAGGAAGATCACGCAGAACGTTCTGCGCAGGTGCAGATAATGCGAGATATATACGAACGAGCGCATCACGTCCTTGTTTAGCTCGGACCGAAGGATGCTAGAGACGAAGTAGCCGTGGCCTTGATGAATCGCTTGGCAGCAAAGTACTCACTCCCGAATACTCCACGAAGTTACGATCTCCGCGTGCTGGCAGACTCCATCCCGCTCTCCTCACTCCCAGACCAAGGCTCGAGCGGACGGGAGTCCCTCTTCCGGTTCTTTGAGCTCCCATATTTCTGTCGAACGTGGATCATTCAGGAAATCCAAGCCAACGACAACTGCCTCGTCTTATGTGGACAGTCTCGAACCACCTTCCTAGCCATTGAGCTCTCGGCTCTCTGTGCGTTCCGAGCACGCGAGGCCATCCGTGACAAAATGATTACAGACCGAGGAATCTCCAACGCAATTTATATACGCAGTCTCGCCGCACCAAGCACGAGCTTGATGACTAGGCTAGAACAAACCCGCGGATTCTTTGCAACTGACCCTCGTGACAAGGTCTTTGCTTTTCTGCGACAGGAAGACACGCTAGTCCCGGATTATTCCAGGTCTTTGAAGGATGTGCTGCTTGGCGCTTCTGGGCAGATCCTACGGGAGGATGGACTGGACGGCTTGTCGCACGTCTTCCATGAAAGCCTCTCTCGGTTCGAAATGGAAAGGACATCATTCCCGAGTTGGATACTAACTTTCAGAAACTGTTTCATTGTGCCGCTTTATAAAATACGTGGGCTTGCAGCCGGCGGTCCATCGGAATACCAGGACTTCACGGTAGAGAATGAGATGCTCAGAATGAAAGCAATATTCTTGGATCGTATTGCCATCATCCATCCAAGCCTCGGCTGGGATGATCTGTCGGTTACGCCATCGGCCCGCGATATTCCCACTTACGTCGACCGCCTCTGGCACCTTTACTCGGGTGCGGCCCAGACTCGTGCCCCATATATCGAGTCTTACTCTATCCAGGCCGCGTTTTCCATGGTTATCACGGCCGGCCTTGGTAGATGGGGCCTCGAACCGGACGTTGGGGCTCACGAGAGGGCCTTTTCGGAGTTCACGAAGCTCCGATTTGCGAGGGCCGGGGACATGAGGTTGCGCCTGGGTGAGGAGCGCTCTCGGCAGGATGGAAGGCCACACACCAACGCGATGGACCTAGTGGGGGACGAGATCAAGCATGTCAACTACAATGGAGGCGGCCAAGCCTCTCACGAGTATAGGGGGTGGCAGGAATCCAATGGTAGCAAAAATTCCGAGCCCATGCCAATGTACCAACGGTTCCAACGAGCCGCTCAGTCAGTGTGCAATAATCGCTGCGTGTTTGAAACGCAGAGAGGATATCTTGGCCTTGGACCCTCCGTAATGGGGCCTCACGTTCGAGTGAGGTGGGATGAAATGGATGCTGTGTATCCCGAGGCGTATACGGATGAGTCGAATATCTACGAGGTTTGGGTCCCCCTTGGGGCGAAGACACCGTTTGTTCTAAAGCCTCGTGGCTCTTCGTATATTATGGTGGGGGAATGCTATGTTCAAGGCGTTATGGGTAGCGAAGTGCTGAGCAACGGAATGTGCGAAGCTCAAGAGATTGGGTTATGTTGACGTGTGAGAAGCAATTCAAGCTCGGCCATCATGGCCTCCAGTCATGGCCATAAAAGCCGAGTCCGCTTCTACGTCTTATATAGCTTAGGTAGAATTTATGTCGAATCAAATTAAACATTTACTACTATTTAGTACAGTGTCACATAGTAAATCAGACAATGCGTCGAAATTACGGGATCGAAGGCTGCTTTTACGCTGTTCTCCTTGAGATTGGCGAACTAGTGCCGAAGCACGTGACCGAAAATTCACGCGCAAGAAAATTTTCGAACTACAAAAATTCTTAAACAGACAACACTCAATGCTTAAACAACAATTCTAACCTCAACCGCATATCCCTTTCATCTTCTGCGAGCGCAGCGTGGAGGGTCAATGCCAGTGAGTTGCCTGACCCTCGCCACTTTGTCAGCCCCTGAGAACCGACTTCATGTCGTGCGACGTCGACGGGGACCATAGAGAGCAGAATATGGGAACTGTACGCGACCAAAAAATTCAAATACGAAGATACGAAAGCAGATGTCGAAGTCGACACTCGTGACTTGAAAACCGCAGTAGCGGGTTTTAAATCCGGTTTCCTTGATTGCGGGCTAGAAACGCGAGGTCAGGAGACTAGAAAACCAGTGGAAGAAACGACGATCGTAGCTAAGCCGCCGGACACTCCACTTGGGACGGCGACAGGCTGACAGCTATGTCTTAAGTTACGAAGAGAAAGTTTTCTTCGACGGCGACGCGGCGTACGTCGATATTTGTCACGAAGCGGAAGTTCCAGACGCTGAAGAACGGCGGACATCCCGAGGTTGCGCTCGAGTAATCTCGGGGGTTTGCTCCTGAAACGACTGACTCGTGGAACCTGGAGCGGTCCTCAATTTCTGGCCTCCGTCCACACACGTCCGCCTTCCAGACCCGATTCCATCCTCCCGGTTTTCGTTGAAGCCAAATAGATTGCTTCATCAATCGAGAGTTTGACTGCTTATTAATCCTCCTGTGTCTCATTATTAGGGCCATACCAACACGCTGGGTCAGATTTGTTTCTTGCAGCCAAGATTGGCAACGTTACCCCGCCTTTCAGCCATTTTCAGCCTCCAGATCCCAAAAGCAAGAAAGCCACGATGACAAGACTTTGCTGTCACCGCCGGCCGCGATCCGCGGGACCACCTTGTCGCTGCCCAGGCCCCCGAGGCCCAGATGCCCCAGAGGGCGTATTTTCGCGGTCCTTTTCGCTCCACTCGTCGACGACTCGACGCGAAGTGGTGCACACCTGCCGGCGAGCTGAAAATGGCACTACTTCGTACAGTACGAAGCGATGCCACGAGACTTCTTTGAGCGCTTGGCCGGTCGCGGACTCGCAAGGAGGCACGGAAGAGGGAGCCAGTTGCACCACGAAGCCTTGCGATGCTTCTCGACTTGGGAGGCGGTGGCCGCAGAGCAGCCGACGCTTGACGGGATGCGGACTAGCGGGGCGCGAAGACCCCGGCGCGGCTGTAGTTGCGAGATCTCGCTAGCTGTCGCTACCAGTCGCTACCGGTCGCTACCCACTCGACACGGGCGCCCGGCGCAGATAACGATCGCGGCCCCTGTAGCGCCGACTTGAAGCCGCAGGAGTGGCCCGCGCCCTCGCAACTACTTGCTGCCCGCCATTCGGTGCTTTTGTGGGGACGGTTTTGCCGCTGGCGCACGAGGCACAGCGAACGTAAACGGGTTTCCTGCTCGATCTGTATTTATTGCCTTCGGTTCTGCATCCACACTTCCACAGCTTCCTCACACGACAGTCACTGCTAGGGGCGGCATATTAACGCCCACCCCATTACGGAATAATTATAAACAACACCCTCGAGCCTGTGATGCGTTGTGGTATTGCGGGTCTGGTGGCGTTTTCTTTCCAAAGGGGAGCAATTTTGCACTGCTAGGGATGCCATATTTACGCCCACCCCATTACGGAACAATTATCAATAACACCTCGAGCCTATGATGCGTTGTGGTATTGCGGGTCTGGTGGCGTTTTCTTTTCAAAGGGGAGCAATCTTGCCCGAAGGGGAAATCCTGCAATACTCTGCACAGGGGTCTTGACATGTAACCCGTGCAGTACCAGTACAGTACTGCATTTATCTGCATATACGGAGCAAGAAAGCTGGAATCAAGTCAGATGATTGGTATTCCGCCAGCTCGCTAATAAAACCCCGGTAAACGGGTGGCAACTAACATTTATTTCGCAGGATTAGAAGTAGTATGCTCTATTGAAGATGCTCAAACTCTTGCTTATAGCTGCGACTATTATACTTTTTGCATTGAACTTATACAAATCTTATATAAACAAAGTGTAATAATAATAGGAAGCCTATAACAATGGGAAGCCTATTATGATGTAATAATGCGTAAGCCCATTACCAATCGTTTATTATTGCCCCCACACTCTTCCCCCCTCCCTGGTTGAAAGCTAAAGTACATTCGATGTTGATAACACCACCCCAAAACCTCGTTTATATCCCCAACATAGGGAATCTCAGGTGCTTTAGAGAGCCTCTATTCGCTGTCGACCCTTGATAGGGCCCGTACAGGCGTGGTGTTATCCATACCGTGATGAAGCTTTGAGCTTTGAGCCGGGGGTGATATACAGTAATTCTCGTAAGTTTTGCCACCCCTGGTCGCTGCAGCCCAGAACTGGAGCGTGCTCTAGCCGAGTCCGCCCCCCTCCACGACCTCCAACCACGCCGCTGGTCCTCTCCGTCATCCAACATCCCCTCCCGCTCTCCACTTTCAGGCACTCTGAGGGGTCTGGAGAGTCGGGGACTGCGGCCACGATTCCCCACAGGCACGCTCCCTCTCCCAACTGTCGCCGAGGTTGCAGCGTCGGTCCGATTGTAGGAAGCCCGAAACCCAACAGCCAGGGAGCCAAGGGCCCAAGATCTCGTTTTCGACGCTCCGCTAGACGCATCATGTGTGCAAGTCTAGGTGAGCATTCTGCTTTGGGGTTTCAAGGGATTTCCCCATGGGTCTGGCTGGACCGAATCGGCCTTTCTGTGCTTTTGCTGTAGGGGAGGTATATATCTGGGCAAGGTCCCACGATGCTGTCCAGCTCTCCAGACTTCAGTCCACTCATCTTCCACATCGAGCAGGAGGCCGGCAACTCTCCTTCATATCTTTTCAACGAGCTCAAGGTAGCTCTCACCCTCATCCTCAAGCCTTTCACCCCCCCTCCATACACATCATGGCTGGTGGAGCTATCATCGCCACGGCGGATACCGCCCGTATTGAGGCGCCCGTCACCATGAAGGCCTACCTCATGTGTGTCTTCGCTGCCTTTGGAGGTTTCTTCTTTGGCTACGATTCCGGTTACGTTGGTGGTGTTTTGGGAATGAAGTACTTCATTCACCAATTCCAAGGCTTGCCTTACCCAGCTGCTGGAGCCACCGCGTCCGAATCTGCCTACTTCGTCCTGTCTTCGTCCAACAACTCCCTGATCGTCTCTATCCTCTCGGCCGGCACCTTCTTTGGCGCCGTCATCGCTGGTGATCTCTCCGACTGGTTCGGACGTCGCACAACCATCATTGCCGGCTGTGGTGTCTTTGCTGTTGGTGTTGCTCTCCAACTCGCCTCCTCCACCATCGCACTGCTCGCTGTTGGCCGTATCATCGCCGGTTTCGGTGTTGGTTTCGTCTCTGCCATCATCATCCTGTATATGTCAGAGATCGCTCCCCGCAAGGTCCGTGGTGCCATTGTTGCTGGATATCAATTCGCCATCACCATTGGGCTCATGGTTGCCTCGTGCGTCGACTACGCGACCCAGAACAGACTGGATTCTGGCTCCTACCGCATCCCGATCTCCATCCAACTCATCCCGGCCATCATTCTCGCGACTGGGCTCTTCATCCTCCCAGAATCCCCAAGATATTTCGTCATCAAGGGACAACTCGAGAAGGCCGCTGCCGTCCTGTCTCGTGTCCGCGGCCAGCCCCAAGACTCCGAGTACATCCAACAGGAACTTGCTGAGATTATTGCCAACCACGAGTACGAGATGAGCGTCATCCCCCAGAGCGGCTACTTCTCATCCTGGGCCAACTGCTTCAAGGGCGGTCTCTCTAAGCCTTCCTCCAATCTCCGCCGCACGATCCTCGGCACCTCCTTGCAAATGATGCAACAATGGACTGGCGTGAACTTCATCTTCTACTACTCCACCATCTTCCTGCAATCCCTGCACACGATCTCCAACCCCTTCCTCATCTCCATGATCTTCACCATCGTCAACGTGTGCTCGACGCCCATCTCCTTCTGGACCGTCGAGCGCTTCGGCCGCCGCACCATCCTCGTCTGGGGCGCCCTCGGCATGGTCATCTGCCAGTTCATTGTCGGCGCCGTCGGCACCGCTCTCCCCAACGACCAGAACGCCACCCGCGCCCTCATCGCCTTCATCTGCATATACATCTTCTTCTTCGCCTCAACCTGGGGTCCCGGCGCCTGGGTCGTCATCGGCGAGATCTTCCCGATCCCCATTCGCTCCCGCGGTGTCGGTCTCTCGACCGCTTCTAACTGGCTGTGGAACTGCGTACGTCTCTTTCCTAATCCTTTGGCATTAATGCTTTACTAACAACCGTCTGCAGATCATCGCAGTCATCACCCCCTACATGGTCGGCGAGAACAAAGGCAACCTCGGCCCCAAGGTCTTCTTCATCTGGGGCTCCCTCTGCGCCGTCTGCTTCGTGTACTCCTACTTCCTGATCCCCGAGACCAAGGGCCTGTCCCTGGAACAGGTCGACCGCATGTTCGAGGAGACGACGCCGCGCCACTCCAGCAAGTGGGTGCCGCACTCCACCTTTGCGGCCGACATGGGCATGACGGAGAAGAGCCACGAGGTGATCCCGCAGCACGAGGAGGAGAAGAGCTTTGCTTAGATTTTGAAGATCTCCGCGAGATTTAGAGTCTTGGGGGGAAGGGTGTAGAAGAGTAGAGTGAAGGAGGGGTGCAGGGGGTGGATTGATGGGTTCCGGGGGTGTAATGGGTGTATTGTAGTTGGTGTAGTGAAGCTACGGCTGCTACCACGAGAAGGAAATTCAAAACTCAAAGGTTTCATATCTTGACCTGCTTTCACCAACATATTGTGCTCGTGAATGTAAGAACGATCGATTTCAATCAATCGCTTCCCTCAGCCCGCGGGTCTGATGGGTGACTGAATTATTGACAGGCGCATCACCTATAAACAGGGATCACCTCGCAGTTGCCAATACTTCCATCATATCCACATCATTGGTTGTGAAGCCCGTGTGGGATTGAGTGGCTTGCCTTTTCGGCCGAAGAAGCAGCGTGTTGGAGTTTAGCCGCCCGGTATTGCAAAAATAAGGGGGGTCGCTTCGCTAAACCGTTCTGTTCTTTCATCTCCGTTTCGCTTGCTCGAACCCTTGACGATGTTGGGAACGCGCTCAAGGTTGTTGTTTAGGAAAAGATAAGCATGGTTCAGGGTTTGGATTGTTACTACAGTATCTTCTTCCGAAAGACACATGAACCCTTATTATTTCCTCAAGATGTACGCGCTCACAGCTAGTGTTGGAACTGAGTGTACGCTGGTACACTGTAGTTGATATACCGGATGTATATATAGAGTGCTTACCCCGCGTAAGCTGAAAAATCAAGTCGTCAACCTCCAAAACATTGCAACAGCTAGCACAAAAGCTCGATGACACGTGACTGGGTGATTAGTATGTTCCAGTCCTCCTACGAATGGCGTACCTTCGCGACTGGCAGGTGCCATTCACGAATATACTTCCCCCTCGGCGTGACAGTTCCAAAACATTTTCCGGAAGATTCTGCGCTAACAGGGGGGATCTAGCCAACAGAACTCTTGGAATTTGCTGAAAATACTACCTCTTGAGGTAAAGTAGATCTTCTGTGTCTTGGAACTGTTACCCCGGGTACGAAGTAACCTGTGAAGTCGCGGAGTTATACGCTAATGTGAGGCTATCCGCAAAAGGCGTGGTGGGCGTACGCCACCCGGGAATAACCTCACACTAGTCACTTGCCCACTTAGCAATTAGTCTACTTAGTACGCAAACCATGAAGCAGCGGTAAAGCTCTCCTAAGACTTCGCATCTCTCACGTTAATTACAAGCTTAATTCTTCTATCTTTTATTATTTTTATAGTATGGATAAGTAGCTAGATCAAAATAATACTTTTATATACCACCTTTTGGGCACGTGCCAACGAAGAATAGACTTATATACCTTGCTAGTATAGTAAGTGGGGTTCCTGACTAGCATATGCCGACCGGGAATAATAAGTTCTCCATGACTAGTATACACTATTCGTGAATGGCCTTAATTCATTCAACCTTCTATTATTCGCGAAATAGACTAGAATATTCGCAACGGCATATGCCCTTCGGCGAATAGGAGATTATCCGTGGTTGGACTAGAACAAATAGGTACGGTAGTCACTCCACCTCTCCACAATTCATACCGTGGTTTCGATCACGCTTTGCAGCTTCATGGTAGCCAAAAAAAAAAAAAAAAAAAAAAAAAAAATTGGTTTCTCTGAATTTTCGATACCACAATTGAAGGTGTACGGAACCACTTCAGCTGCCTTCCTTCGGAATATTCCATGAATCTATCGCACATTCGAGTCTACTCTCCCCAATTACCCCCGAGGTTCTAGAACTTTTGAAATTCAACTCCCCTCTAACGACCCACGTTGGAAAATTCAGCGCCGGCTTTAATGGTCCACCGTGAGGCAGATGTGGATTTGCTTTCGTTTGCCGTTTGCGCTCTCGGAAAATGCTTTACTCTATAAGTATTTACTTTTGATTCCACATAAGTGGTCAATGGCTATTTATGTGGGACATCGCCACTCCGGAATCGAGATATTGAGAGGCGCTGGATTATTCTGAATCAGTCACACGACAGCAAAGCACATGCTATCATGTGGGAGAACGGGAAGGATCGTTGCTGACTACCTTACTCGGTTCGTGTGGGCGAAGGCATATTGAGACCACAACCAAGACGAGACAATGAGCTTCGTCCTGTTCTTGAGTCCCAATGTTGGGATCGCTCAAATGGGGATACTCAGATAACGGTGGCCATTTTGCTGGAAACAGAGCCTCTGGGTTTTTCAAGCGTCATAATGGCCACCACGAATTTGGCTCGATTAGTCAACTCTCGTTCGACCGGCCTTGCGGAACGAGCAGTACAGATGTTGATCAGCTTTCTTCGGCACAAATGCATCAGGGTCAGAACGACTGATGGGTGGTCCCGGCGGGTATTGTTAGGCTCGCTTTTCTATTGCAACCCTAATTCAGTTTGACTTCTCCCCCATTCCGACAACAAATAAATACCCCATTTGCTAAAGAGGAAGGAAACTTCGAGATGTGTGGCATGAGATCCGGCTCCAGCGGACCAAGTTCATTCTCGTTGAGAAGCCAAAGCTTCTATGTGACCTGCCAGTATGTTTGCAACTTCTTCATGCCTTTCTTTTCTGGCTAGACGGAGGGCGCTGTCAAGGAATCGACTAGATATGGACAAGCTAGCTTGATTTTCAAGCATTGCTCTCACAAAGATGTGCTCTCCTCTTTCAATGGCCTTCATCAAAGGATTCACCGTGATCCTCCGGTGCACAGCGCGACAATCCCGTTCCGAAGGAGGTGAATAAGCTTTGTTGAGGTCCACGTAGTCGGATAGTAGAATGAAGAGAATCGATTGTGTTCTCTTCTCGCTGTCTGGAAACAAAAGCCAGGTTACAAGCTCTTGTCCTACAAATTCTTTGACTTGATTCTTCTCGAGCATTGGTGCCAGGAGATCTAGGACGGGGCGCTTTCTTTTTTCTAAAGCCCACTTTAACCCCATCTCTTTATCATTGCTACTCATCATTCCATTCTTCGACATATTTTGCACGAGTTCAATGTTCCCATTGAGGTAAATATACCAGAGCAAGCAGCTGATGCGGACTTCTTGTTTTCCAACTTTCGTCGCTTCAAGAACATCGCTCTCGCTAAAGCTGAACCCTCGCCGGAATAAGATTTCCATGGCTTCCTCTTCGCCGGAGTCTGCTATTCTGATAGCAGCACTTTTGCCGCTGTGGGCTCGGACGGTTGGGTCAGCACCCGCTTCAAGGAGGAGTGTAACTAAGACAGAATTTCGAAAGTTGCAACAATATAATGAGGTACGGCCAGTGGTATCCAACGCATCCACCGCGGCGCCTCGTTCGAGCAGGAATTTGGCCATTTCAACGTTCCCACAATAAACTGCTAAATGCAGCGCAGTCAAGCCACGATTGTCTCTCATGAAATTCGAAAGCTGGCTATCATCATGATCTAAGATGAGGCTTGCAATTTCTAATCCCACTTCCCTGGGCCAAAGTTGAGTGGTTGCATGAAGTGGTGTTCTGCCTTCCTTGTCCCGGACGGTAGTCTTCGCGTGGCAGTTTGAGATGAGCTTTTGACAGAAAGCAATGTCTCCTCGTTTGACAGCGGCTGCCAGCGCGGTGGTCCCGTCAGCATCGCAAGTGTTAACATCGACAGCATTAGTCTGGAGCAGAGAATGGCAAATATCAATCGCGCGGATGTTAGAAGCAAGCATCCACACACCGGCCGAATCCAGGCGGACCCTCGAAGAAAATGACCCAGGCCAAACTTGAAGGAAAGAAAACGCAAAGATGTTATCGGACTCGACCACGGCATACAGGATAACCCCCACCTCTTCGGACTGCATGTCGAAGCCATGGCAAAGAAGAAGCTCTACCACTTCTCTGGCTTTCTGGTGGTCGTCCTTTGTTCGCTTACTGAGAGCTAAATAGGCCGCGGTTCCAAGAGATCCTCGATTGTTTCGAGCATTCACATCGGCCCCCTCTTTTAACAGGTACAGTACCATTTCTTTCTGTAGAGCTTCAACAGCCCTCAGGAGCGCTGTATTTTCATTTGCATCCCTCGCGTCGACATCATGTGGTTTCAATATTTCTAAGGCGGCCAGATCTCCGAGTTGAGCCGCCATGTGGAACGCAAAATCTCCGTCCCGTGTAGGCTCCCTAGCATCAGCGCCAAGCTTCAGTAACATAGGGATCATTCCAGATCGGTGAGACCGAACAGCGACATGTAGAGCAGACAAATATCGTCTCTGCCAAGGATGGTTCCCCAAGTTGAGTGGGGCTCCATTATCGTGAAGCCAACGGACTGTGGACTGTCGACCAGCCTCGACAGCAATATCAATGGGGGTGGAGCCGTTCGTTTCCTCGTCACTAAGACTGAGATAATTTGATTTATCCAGAAGAAGGGCAATCATTTCAGTCCTCCCATACCATACTGCGACCGAGAGAAGCGTTCTCTTTTCGCCCAGTTTAATGAAGCCATCGATTGATGCACCACTATTAATCAAAAGGGAAAGAATTTCCGTGGACCCGCCCTCAATCGCTGCCGCCAAAACTTTATATATATCGCGAATTGACCGATCCGAGTCGAATCTGAGGCTGTTTCTGTTTCCTGGGGCTACTAGATCCTCCACTGTCAGTTTTAAACCTAAGAGGCAAGCCATAGCCAAGGGACCAAGGTCTGAAGGGCTCCTTGACGGATCTTTTTCTTCCCAAAAAAGTGAGGCCCACTGCCAGAACCGGGATGACTCAAAGAACTCCCTCACACGTCGCCGTTCCCTTCTCGACGTCTTAGATAATTTCCTGGCATGGTCTGGAAGATTTTCGACGACATATGAGAGAAATCCTTCACATTCCTTCGAGTTTGGCTCGAAATTCTCTTCGTTGTTTACTTGCTGGGATGCCGGTGAAAGAGCCCTGGGTAAACGATCCAACCTCCCTTTCGACTCGAGGAAATATAAAGAGAGATATTTCATGCAACGAGAGAGCAGATCGTTGTTGGCTTCGTCCCTGCCGATTATGTACCATTTCCGTGGATCGGGCCTTAAATTTCGTGAACTAGCTCCTTCAGAATTTGCAGTATCCGCTAGGTCGCTATTGACCGTGGAAAGCAGAAAATCTTTCATTGAGGCGTGAATAAGTGAAACATAATCATTGCTGACAGTGACGATAGGTCCAATTCTGGTGTTGATGTCGTATAGGACTGAAAGAGCCACATCATCTGCCATTTCCGTGAAATTCGGGGTCTGTTCTGTAATTGCAATTGCTATGGCCAACTCTGAGACAGTCATGGGCCTTGCAGCGTACAGCAGGCAAATTAAAACGTTGCTTCCAAACTCGATATCCTCCGGCTGGACTCGGTCAAACGTTTGAGAATATGCATCTGCGAGGGTTCTAGGTAGTGAGCGGAGTACCTGTCGAATACTGTTTCTGGACGTGCCTTTTAAGTTCAAAAGGCTTCTATGGATGTGCTCCACTAGTAGAAACATCCCATCTGCTCTCTCGTTGAGTCGCTTGGCGATCTCAGATTTCAGAGGCGCAAAGAATGGTCGAGCTTTCATCAAGAGGTTTACTCTATCCGCGATAAACAACTTTATGTCGGCCTCCAATCCAGGTTCTTTATCGAGATTAAGCTCCGTCACATCCTCCTCCCGTGGCATGCCCTCTTTTGGCCGGCTTGTCACCAAGACCTTACACCACGGTGCTTTGCGGCAGACCTTCGTAATTGCACACAAGACTTCTGAACCGAAAGCATGGCATTCATCAAGAGCATCCAGGACAAGTATGACGCGTCGGCGGGGGAAGATGGCCAGAGCTTCCTCTAACAGAGTTTCCAGATCTTTCTCGTTCCATTCCCCCTTTGGGTTGGCGCTGCAGGCCTCAATAATACGAGGATACATCGACGTCGCAAAGGCGAGGATCTGCAAGAGAAATGATGCGTACACTTGTATCAGATTTTGTCGTCCTTCGGTAGCGCTGAAACTGAAATAGCCGGTCGAAATCCAGTCAAGTCGAGATTTGGAATCTGCCAGTAGGTACTTCGAGATCATGGACTTTCCACAACCAGGTTTCCCTAGCATGTGGAGTATCGAGATTCCTGAGCATTCCAACCACGAACGGTAAGCTGGGTGGTCAAGTATCCAGCTGCAAGTCCCTTCAAGCGGCGAGGGCATCTCTTCCAGGAACCGTAGATGGTCAAATTGTGCGAGTTGTGTCAGTCGTTGCACCAAAGCACGTTTCGCATCAGTATTTTCTAAAAACAAAGTCAGCAATGTTGACTCTCCATTCCAAATACGTACGAGCTGGCTTAGACTCAATAACTCGCTTGATGGCTTTCCAAACCTCTTCAAATCTCTCATCACCGACCCCTGAAAATGTACAAATTTCCATGTGATTTCCTGCCAGAGGAACCGCTTCTTCACCAGTGATTTCCATCACGGCAGAGTGCTTTCCAACAACCTGTTGCCCTAGTTGTCAACAGACTAATAAAGCAATAAAAAAAAGGGTCAAGTACATGCCTCTTTGCCAACGCCCTTGATTTTTGCATCCTCATAGAAGCTGACGATAGAGTAGTTCCCCACAATTGATCTGAAGTCCTCCGACACATCCATCAAAGTTGCTGAATTATTCTTCAGGACCTTGATGTTCGGGGTGGGGTGCAAAAAGGCGGCTTTCGATATGCCTGCGAGGATGTTTCCCCAGAAGGCAAGGTCTGAGCCCCGGTGTGGTGTTCCCATAAAAACCTACGGAATTTTAATACGGCTCTTATAACGGTGGCAGGCTGCCAGGGCAGGACTCACAATTCCGCGAGTAGAATTCGCGATAGAGTTATAAGGTGTCTCGTTTGTAGCGATGCGTAGAGCCTGATGTAGCATCAGAAAAGCGGATGATATGTAGCAAAATACAGTCGCGATGGAACTCTACTGTACTATAACAAAGATCAAACCATACCTGCTTGGCAACGATGCCACCTAGACTGTGGCAAACGAATATTATAGGACGACTAGCCTGCTGTTTTCAATAAGTCTGAGGCACAATTGGACAAGGCTCAATCCAAGTGAAGCTTACGTCTCCTTCATCCCTTTTATTTCGCAGCAGTGACAGAAGCTTTCGAGCATGATCTCTAATATTCGATGTAGCATAGTTGTTGATCATGTCGGCGTTGTACCCAAAGGTCATCACTCGAGCTTGAGGGAGTTTGTGTGGAAGGAGATCCTGCAGCCACATGACGTCTGTCTTGCCCTTCGCCTTGTAAGTCCATGTTGACCACCGTTTTCCATTGAGGCCATGGATAGCTACAATGCTTTATACAACAAAGATCAGCTTTCTATTGAACGAGACAGAAGAGCAACTCGTACTCAACGGTTGGGCTCCCATGATCCGCAACCCAAGCCGGATTGGCGCAGCAGGGAACGACGATGAGGCCGTGGCCGTTGAGGGTTGAAGAGCCAGTCGACGAGCCAGTTGCCATAAGGATTGACTTGTGCCGAATGCGAAGCAATCGATCTCTGATAGAGGTTATTTGGAATGGGAGAGGTTGTGGAAGCAGGGAAGATTTGCAATCGTGCATGCATTTGCAACAAGAAAGCCTGATCAGCTGACTCCCTTTCAGCCACGCGGTTAGGACAGTTTCTTAATCCTATTTGACTAAATACTAACCTAACCACTCGTTTACCGGGAATGTGTAAAACGACGACCCCCCGGGTGTCGATTGGGGTGTCGATTACTATCACTAACCCAAAGTAGAGGCGCTCGGACAGGAACACCAAAACTCTGGCTTTTTCTTTAATTTAATTTAATTTAATAGGTAATTAATATAATTTAATGCTTGTTTCATTTACTTATAGCACTAATTAAGGGCTATTCAAATTTAAACTTTTTATAAACTTTTGATTAGTAATAGCTCTTTATATTAAAGAAGTTAAAAGTTATATATTTTTTAGTCTAAAAGTAAGCTTAAGAAAGCCTAAAAATTTAACAAATAAGTCCCTAATTTATAGGGCCTTATAAGGCTTAAAAGCTAGAACTCAACTAATTAGTATATAATCTTCCTTAAATTAAAATTCTATTTTAAGGAATCTTTTTATTATACGCTAGAGAGCACGTGATTATAATACAAGGGTTATAATATATTAGCTTATACTTATATCAAAAAATCTAACTTAAGATTTATAGGGAGCTTAGATAGCCAATTACAAGTCATGAACACCCCCGCCCCAATCGACACCCGGGAGGGTGTCGTTTTACACATTCCCCGTTTACCACCCATTCACCGCCCATTTACCACCCATCCACCACCCATTAACCACCCGTTCACCACCCATTGCCTATGATTTAACCATCGTTCCATACATTTTTCACCACCCATTCACCACCCATTCACCACCCAGTTCCCATCCATTCCCCGCCCATTTCCCATCGACCTCGCCATTTGCTTCTTCATTCCTCTCTTCTGTCCTAACTGGTTGCTGGCTGTGATATCAATGCACGCATCATGCGTGTGCGTGCCCAGCATGTGCGTGCACACTGAGTGTGGCAAAGCCAGACGTAAAGTATATCTGATGAGTCTCCCTTCTTTGTTACCATTCAATCTCCTATATTTCTGCAAAATTCTAGTTGCACATATCATCAAAGACGCTTCTGGTGCACTGTGCCTCTTGGTCCTCTTCCGATTTATGCAAGGCAGCTACACACGACGCTGTGGGTGTCTCTATACACATCTTTCGTCTTCGTACAGCCCAATATCTGACCTATCGTCGATCTCGCTGCTCTGAAAATCACCCTTGGACTTCAGCTCAACCTCTAGTAGCCCAGGAACTTTCTTCGATATGCCACAAAGTCCACCCAAGCCTCCTCCCACTCCATTACATCCACAGCCCGGAGATCCATGTAAGTTCCCAATCTTTAACATTCCTTCTTTCCCACCACATTTACTTCTGATACTAACTTTGCTAGTCATAGGGCGTTAACCCAGGATTGAGCAGAGTATGAAGAGTCACATGAAGAGTCACATGTATCGTTATCAACACCAACGTGCGACTGCGACTCTTCTCTTAGATCTTATCGTTCATCGTTCTCTAGAAAGCTGCCATCATCAATTTTGGCATCTTCCGAAATACAATTTATAACTCTTTTTCAGCTATTCTTCCACAATGGTGGGGTCGGTGGACCACTTTTGTGAAATTGTGACCGGAAAAAGCTCAAAACACTGCTCCCAAGTGTGGTACTATATTAACCAGATCTCCGCGAAATCTAGAGGCTTGAATAAATAAGGGGGAGCTTGAGCCTCACTAGCAAGTCACGTAACCAGTTTTTCCAGCCCTAATTTGACGCTTCCTTTTTCACAATTCCACTGATAAATCGAACTGTGAGGCTGGCAATCTCTGTATTTTCAACTAAAATCAATAAAATGCTCATCCAAGATCATCACTTGAATTCATGTGTCTGGATTTGAGCTTGACCGGGTGAACAATATTTTGGTCCCGGTTAACTTTCATACTAAGGTCGCAGACGACGAGACGGCTCAAGCAGAATTGTTTACTAGAATGGACAGTTGGGGAAAGGATTGCCGTGCTATTTCTGTGGAGACTTACCGTCTCAACAGAACGACACTCACGGGGCACACTGGCGAGGACTAATTGCGGACGTGCCGCCCGAGCTGGGCAGAAGCTTCCCTGCTGGTCCCGATATTGGGATGCATCCAATGCCGACCTATGGGTGATCGGTCTAAGCACGAGCACAAGTGAGAGTCAAAGCAATGAGCAAAGCCCAGATGCTATGAAGACTCCTGTCTGGCGGGGCAAAACTTCGTCAGCTGTGTTACGAAATTGGCTAATTATTCTTATTTCAGTACTACCAGTGTGTCAAATGAGTAGAGTAGAGTAGAGTAGTGGGTACTACTCATACTCTCCTCAATACTCATTGAGTATATACTTAAGTAACTTAAGTAGTAAGTCACGTGTAAGCACGTATTCTTATAAGGGGATCCCGCAACTTAAGTATTAGTTTTAAACTTACTTTAAAAGGCTATATTATTTTTTAAGTATAAGTCAAAGTCAAAATAAGCCCTATATATTCCTTTTCTCCTTGACTTATTATTTAGAAGTCATATGTATTAAATAACACGTGATTATTATATTAATTTTTACTAATATTAAAGGAATTTTAAGTAATAAAAAAGATAATAAAGGGAAGAATTAAGTGGTATTTATAATATAAAGAGAGATATTAAATAAAATAAATCACGTGATGAGTAGTTAAACTATTTAAGTAGTCTACTCTACTCTACTTAAGCTTAGTCATAGAGGGGCTACTTATACTCTACTCAATACTCAATGAGCATATACTTAAGTAACTTAAGTAGTTTGAGTATTCCTTTGGCACACTGAGTACTACTGGGGGTAGGACTGGCTTGGGTCTGAAAAGCATTCAGTCAGGGGATATCCTTTGTATTTTCTACTCTGGTGACCAGTTTTTGCTTTGCGATACGAACATAGGCGTAACTTTGCAACACTCATTGGATATTATTATGTCTATGTGTGCATGGATTTTGACTTGCTACCTCAGAAAGTATTGCGAGAAGAGAAAACGTTCGTTGTTAGCTGATCTTTGACATGGCTACTACTTCCTGCGGCTTCTTGACAGCCTTAGAGACGGTGGTATGAGGAAACAAGACATTCCTTTGTCTAGTTGGAGAAAACAAAATGCCAGCGCGAGAAACAATTATTAATTTGGCAACGCACGCACGTATGTGGAGCGGGAATCAGGACTTGCTGAATGCGGCATGTTCACTCGAGCGGAGTGGGAATTGGTTATGAATGAAAATGAGCGAAAGCGTAAAGCATTCACGATTAATCAAGGAACTGGTCAAGACAAGAATCAGAAACACACTAGTTCTATTAATGTATTCCCTAATCCACGCTATGCATGCAGTCAATGCTCATTCCCTCATTACCCATTCACAACCCGGTACCTAATGATCCCACAAAACACCACCCATGCATTCCCAATTCCCAAACCCAACCTTTTCAACCTCTCCTATCCGTTTGAACCCAGTGCCTACTTCCTAGCACTAATAAACTCAATCTTCACCTCCCTCTTCTTCTCCCTCCCCTCTTTCGCAGCGGCACTAGCAGACGCCTCCTCCTCCTTCTCCCTCAGCTCCTTACCAACCTTCAAACTCCTGATGTTCCTCTCAAATTCCCGCATCTTCTTCTCAACATCACTCGCTCCAAGCGTAATGCCACTTTCCTTCGCATGGGCCAGCGCTTGCGCCTTAGCAGCGGCGATGGCGTTCTTGTTCGCGACGTACGGCGCGCTCCCTGGTGGTGCTTTGGCTGTTTGTCGAGGCATGCCAGTTCCAGGATCTACGGCCTTGGATGAGGAGGCGTTAGAGGCAGAGGATTGGGAGGCTTCTTGTGCGGCGCGAGCAGCGGCCTGAGCTTGTGCTTGAGCTTGCTTGACAGGCACGAGTTCTTTGACGAAATCTTGCGCTTCTTTGCAGCCTTCCATCAGGAATTTGATAGTGAGTGTTGCCCGCTCTTTGAGATACTCGTTGTGCCCATCGTAGACGCAGCAGTTGAGAAGGGGCATGATACCTTCGTGCGCTAGGAGCTGTTTCTGCACAATCGGGTTGCCCGGTCCTTGGCGGCGGGTGTTATTGGGTGCGATGAGGGAGGTGAGGATGATTAGTATTTGGATCTTGATGCCGGCCCACGGGAAGCGGTGGGGCGTGTCTTGGTATTGGGTCGAGTTGGCGTCTTGTGTTGGGGGTTCGTGGCGATCAACGGCTGGTATCGAGGAGGGAGGGCGACGAGCTGGGCCTGATTGTCCTGGCATTGGCCTTTCGTCGATGTTCTTTCGAGCCACTCCTGCTTCGAGTGCTTTCAGAAGAGCAACCATCTCGTAGGCGGTTTCCCACTCGATGAGTAAGTGGCGCATCTCAGGTATCTCAGCGATGACTGAGATGAAATCTAGGTATTGTGAGAGTCCATCCTTAGCCCTTTCCATATCCCATAAATCAACAGGGAAATCGGCTGCGGCTCGAGCATTCTGTCTGATTTGAGCCTGTGCATGAAGGAGAGCCAAGCAATCTGGCACAACGCGACATCTGAAATAGTTGTAGAGGAAGTGGATGAGCTTTGCATCGCGGTTATAGTCCTTCACATCCGCGTAGATGGGACTCTCCTTGCGAGCTCGGAACATATAATTGATCAGGCGGAGGAGAACGGTCTGTGCTGGCGATACGATATCCTTCAAAATTCTCAGACAATTCCAGGCGAACGGCAGCAAGGCGTTGTGGTGGAAAGACTCAATTATTTGAGCAGTAATCTGGAATATGAATTGTTGGTCATTCTGTTCCCAAACAGCAATAAAGACCAACAATTCTCGGAGCAGGTTCCTGCCACAATCCAAAGCCAGAAACATCTTGCACCTCGTTTTCTGGAGATTCTCTCCAGCTGGTGTAAGCCCGGAGCCCATCGAGTCGACGATACAAGCTTTAACAGTCATGTGCAAAGCTTCAATTTGCTTCGTGTCCAAGATATTAGGGATCTCGGTCAGCAATCCGCGTAATGGACCTTCGGCATAGGACTCATCATCTTCCTCCTCTTCCTCATCGTCATCCAGGCCATTGTCACCTTGGATTGATCGATCATCGGTTTCGTCTGGACCAACACTCCCGTCATCCGCCGGAGGTTCCCGCAGATGATTGAACTGCTGGTCATCCAATTCGTATTGTTGATCCTGCGAGCGAGGCATATACCGATGCATGGCATTCTTCTTGCACGCCTCAGCCCGCTCAACAGCACCCTCTACCGTCTCCATCGGCACCACCCAGCCATCGAAATTCGCATCTCGGACTTTCTTCCACCAGATATCGATTTCATGTGAAACCCTGGCGTATAGCCTGTCTTGCTCGAATTTATCTTGCATATCCGGCTTCCAAACAGGAGAAGTAGATTCCGCAATGTTCTCTGTATTGATCCAATTTTCTACTTCCGGGAGAGGGCCAGGCGTGTATCCAGTAGGCACCTGGTCCTGATATGCTTGCAGAAGTTTGGCGGCTAAAGGGTCCTTCTTCCTATGCCGTGAAAGCCAGTTCTGAACTTCCTGGTGGACCTTCTCCACATTCAAATCATCCGGAGGCATCTCGTGTATCGGTTCGTTCTTCATCTCGTCATCGAATAGCATCTCGAACCAAAAGGACATCTTAAACCGATCGTTTCCCATCGTCCAGTTGTGTGTATGCTGCAAGCAAGTAACCAGGAGTTTCTTGTCTATCTCCACTGTTAGCACCAGCCCAGAATATAACCCATGAAGTGAACTCACAAAGTTCCGTAATCTCATTCAATTTGACCCTCCTAGCCTCATCCACATTCTCCCCATCATAACCCTTACTCGTCACATTGACACACAGCACAATAAGGCGGTGCACCTCCCTATCAAATCCCACCGCCTTACAAATCTCCTGCGCCGTCTCCTTAATCGCCAACATATTCCTGCTAATAACCAGCAAATTATTCAAATAATGCAAGTCCTCCCTCAACACTTCATAATTCTTCAGGATCAGCTCTGCACTCTCGCTCACATCATGGTGATGCCCGTTCGGGCGTCCGCCGCTTTCTTCCTCCCCCGCTCCCTCCACTTTCATCAAGCTTCTCGTCTCCAGCAGCGATGTCGCAGCGGTGAAGATTTTCTGCAGGTGTTTCCAGATATCCACGTTCTTGGCCAACGTCTCTCTGACTTCTGCTTTATTGAGAGACAGGTCTAAAGTCTTGGTAACCATCTTCTTCGCCTCCCCCATCGTCTCCCGCATATACGTGCTCGGCCGCTCAAAATGCATCTCCAGCACCACGAGAGCTCCATTAAACACCCGCTCCTCCTCGCTCTGCGTATTGACCCTGGCCTTCATCCTGACCCTCTCCTTCTCCTCGATATAGAATGGCGATGCACCAGAGGCTGCGGTCTTCGGGCCGGGGTCAGGCAGGATGGATTCGCGGTTCGTGCGGAAGGTCTTCGAGGTCTCGTCCCACCAGGTGGCGACTGGTGTTTTGCATTTGCTGCAGATGGTTGAGTTGGTGAGGATCGAGGGCAAGATTTGCCCGCATTCGATGCAATACATGGTGTTTGGGGAAGGTACGAGGGCTGAGACTTTTTGGAGAAGGTGCGAGTTTGATGTCCGGAAGAAATTCGGCGAGGTCGGTTAGGTTGAAGATTCTGGTGATAGCTTTGGCTAATTACAAATGGGCTTGGAGACCAAAAGGACACCAAAGGTTTGATAAATCATAGTAGAAATGTGTTTGAAGTGAAGTTTTTCACTTGATAGATGCGAGGGTGCACAATATCGCACAGAATAGTCACGCTGAAGAAGCAAGCACTCATCACGTGAGCTGCATTCTCCTGCATCACCATTATTTCGTTGGCAGCCTCATATACACTGCTTCATAGCAGTCCCTCTTCTTTCAGCGCCCATTTTGAACACAAGCAGCCCACCCAAATGGGCATAATGTACACATGCGATGCAGCCAATATACGCGGCACGACACAACACACAACTCTCTTAATACAAGTCCCGAATCAATCATTGAATTGAGCTGCTGCTCCAGATCCCTCCTCGCCACCAGCCTTCGCACTCTTCTTCTTCCTGTTGCGTCGACGCTTCTTCTTGACCTCCTCTCCCTTCGACGATGCCGGTTGTTCCGAATGATCATCGGGAGAATCTGCCTGACCATCTAAACCCTTCGACGTTGCCGAGGTTGCCTTCATTGATAGATGCTCGTTTCCGTTCTCGTCTCTGTCGTCTGAACTGCTGTTGGTTTCTAATACCACTTTTCGAATGCCACCTGCCTCTACTACATTCTCTGTAATACTTCCGCTGCGTGCATTACCTCGTTTCTTGCGAGAGCTGGATCCATTCAAGGACCCGAGGGTATCGCTGCTTCGCCCGCTGTCATTACTGTCATGTCTAGAGATTGGGCGCTTCTCCGGAGACTGCGATTTCCGCGTCTTGTTGACTGACAAGGTGGATCCTCTGGCCTCCCCATCAACGTATATCTCGTTTTTAGAAAATCTGCTTCGACTGTCCTGACTCTTTTGGGAGAATGAACCGTAGCCCTGCTGGAGTGCTTGGACGCCATCACTGGCATCTTTGCCAGCAGATTTGAGAAGTCCTTCACCTTCTCCACCCCGTGGTGCAGGATCATCATGATACGGCTCCTCGATAATTGGATCGTGGAGGACAGTTGATTCTGTCCTGGAATCTGACCGAACCGGATGGCCGGATTTGATCTTGACAGTGCTGTAGCGCGTGGTCTTCGGGCGACTAGCAAGATTGGATGGGCCAAGGTGCTTCAGGTGTTCTCGCATATCATTAACGGTGCCTCGAACCGCAATAGGCATACCATCTGCTCCACCAGAGCTTCGGCGCATGAAGGTGGTGGTCTTGGGGCTCGTGCCAAATGTAGCGGGGCTCGGATTTCGGTCTCCATTCGCAGTAGCACGTCTTGCTAGTGGAGCACCTCCTTCGGAAAGATCGATTAGATGTTCTTCTAGTGGATTGAGCACTGCAGTGTCCGGATTCTCGACGATATGACCTTTTTGGACGCGAGCCTTGGGAGCTGGAGCCATTCGTCGAATGGCTTTGTGCACATCGATATAGACGTCGGACTCATCAATGATTTCCCTGCGGTTTATTAGCACTCACCCAACAGTATTAAGAAATTCACTTACTCGCCAATCAGTTCCTCAATGACATCTTCCAATGTCACCACTCCAATGGCTCCATAATTATCTCCAGGATATTCTGATACTAAAACCATATGGGATTTCCCCTCTTGGAAGAAATTGACAATATCGAGGCAGCTGGTTTCCGGTCGCGTTTCAGGCAGAGTAGCTAGGGCGAACTCGCTGACCTTCTTGCAGTCCTCGGGATCGTATGTAATAAGAATCTTGACCAAGAGCATACCAACGAAGTTACGCTCGTTTCCTGGCTCGTAAATCGGAATTCGTGAATACCCAGCACTAAGAATAATATTCATTGTCGGTTCATCCAGAACGGTATCCGCAGACATCGTGAAAACATCGTCCATCGGTGTCATAATATCCCCCACAGCCTTGTCCTTGAGGTCCAGAACAGCGCTGATGATTGTAACCTCATCCTGGTTGAGTCGATCGGTAGGACTGGAGCCCAGAGTCTTGTGCAGCGTCACCAGCGTCTTCAACCCCGATTTCTTATATACCGTCCCGTGGTCCTCTCCAAGGAGCTTGTCGAGCAATTTTGCTGTGGGCCAAGCAACAGGTGCAAGAATCCACATGAGACCGAGAACGAAAGGCGCCATGTACGCGCCAATTGACAGGCCATATCGAACGCAGACGGATTGGGGAATGACTTCTCCAAAGATAACTGTCACCAGTTAGCAATTGGCTTCCAAACCTTCTCCCAATTATACATACCAATCAAGACTGTGCTGCCGAGTACAGCAGGCCATCCTCCACCCAGAGACCGATCGAGGACGATGGGGAGGGTTTCGTTGACGATGACATTGCTCAGTAGGAGTGTGACCAGAACCCAATGTTTCCCCTTCTTCAGTAAAGTGTAAACCTTTTGCGCGTGTCTTTGCTCTTTGCCTTCACCAGAGGTAGCTATGACTTGGAGGTAAACACCATCTTGACCCATCAACCTGGCAAACACGACAATTAGCACGCAAAGCTTCTCCCAACAAGCAACATGCAGCAGACTCACGCAATAGTCAACCCAGCAAACGCACCACCTAGCAGAACCAGAACCGCCGCAACTGCCAGATACAGCCACAAGCTCGGATCTTCCTCATCTGGGTGATTCCTCACATGAGCCTTCTTCGAACGTCCAATGTAGTCCTTCAAAGGCGCGGCAGCGACGTGTGTGATCTGAGCCAGAGCAAGGAACAAGAGCTTCGAGATGCCTTGAACCGCAGGTCGACGCGCATTGAGGCCATAGTTGCCCGACCGACCGACGGCCATTGCAGGTTTCGAGGCCATCGCCACCACAGGCTGGAGCTCTGCCAGGACCACTGCAACACAGCAGTACCTTGGCCGTCAGACAAGTCTCTTCCCACTCAGCACCAAAATCGACCGCCGAATTGTTGGTGCTCGGAGAATGATCTTCCCGGACGCGGAATGTCGAAATGTCGTGGTGGGGAGAAGAAGAAAGATGGGTGCGGGCGTGGCAATGATATGCAGCTGCCGAGTGCTGCGAACTGATATGAAGGCGCGAGGGATTACCAGGGTCTTCTGGGCAGCGAGTGGTCTGTTGTGAGCAGGAGCTGCACCTGCTGGGATTTTAGCGAGAATGACGAAGTTGAAGTCAAAGCCGCTAAAAGACACAAGCTTCTAGTGGCCGCGTAGCAGCTCGTTCCTCAACTTCTATTTATAAAGTAATGAGTTTAGAATCTTCAAGTGAAAATCAATTGGGAACTTGTCTCCCCGAATCATGCAGAAACAGCAGTATATCGAACATGGAGAGTCGGGGGCACACATTGTGCTTCTTTGTGTGCTATTGAGCAACACTCTTGGGGTTCTACGGCAGAAGTCTGCAGTGGGATTGCTCTATTTCATTGGATGTTTGAATTACAAAAAGATAACAAAATTTTAAGACATCCGTTTCAGGCTCAGGTTAGGCAAATATGCAGGAATAGTCTGCCGTTCAGTTGAAGTTAAACATCTTCAGTAGTTTCTTCGCTTTGACATGTGACAGCGCTAGAGGGAAACACCTGCGCTTAGTCTGAATTCTCCGTCTGAACATCTCGCTCTATTCCCTGGCCACCTCAACCTTGACCTTTTCCTTGATGAAATTGAAGATATCTCTCAGCAGGTCCTCCGAGTACCAGTGTCCCAGGCCCTCATACTCCTTCATCTGAACATTTGTCCCCATCAGGTCCAAAGCATTCTTCGCCTCCCTTCCCAGTTTGATATCCACCTTCTCATCTTCAGCCCCATGACCCAAAAACACAGGAATTTCCTGGAACACCATGTCCTTCTTATAATCCATCTCAATCGACTCCCTCAAGAACTTGACTGCTTGTAAAGGCGGGTCTCCTCTCGCCTCATCTTCATAATCAGACGCCGCAAACGGATCCTCATACTCATCCCCCGAAAGTGCAAACGGGTCGTCGTGGTCTTCCTCAAGCCCCTTGTCTCCATGTCCGCGCCCAATCTTTACCAACTCGTTTCCAAAAGGTATCCACCCACACATCCCCACAACGGCTGCAAATGGCTTTCCATCCCACACCAATAACGAAGCCAAGGACGTGGCACACCCTTGGCTCAATCCCCACAGAACGACATTCTCTTTCCCTACGGCTTCGATCTCCGCCTCGAGGAGCCCATGAATGAATCTACAACTCTTGTTCAGGCCGTCGACCATCAGATGCTGGGTCCTGGTGTAATCTTCCAGATGCCAATTATCGAACCACTGATGCGTCGGATTCTTATAAATCGTGGCCTTCTCCTTAGTCGCAGTTGGAAAGATAATCTTTGCATGCGGGAACACCGTCTGAAGAGTTTGGCCATCCACCTTCGTCTCAAGCAATGGCGGTCCGAATTTGGCTGCGTATGAACCACGGCCGTGGAGGATGATGATCGTCTGTCGATGCTCGAGCTGAGGAAGAACGATCATTGGGTCTGGGAACTTTCCAAGGGTGTCTTTCTTCGGTTTGTGCGATTCTGATTGTTGATTTTCCACTCGACTTGGAAGAGTGATGGGATTAGAGGAGCAGCCTCGGTGGCCTTCTCCAGCTTTGATGGACGCCATTTTTGAAAATCGGACGAGAAATTCGTAGCAATGGCGACGCGGTGCCCTTATATTTCTCGCTATCGTGACTTTCTTTCATTACCGACGTCGAAAATCGTTGAAAATCTGAATGCGAATGTGGATGTCTAATGATATCTCGATAGCTGAATTTGTGAACTGTTTGAGCGGTGTACAAATCCGCCCCTTCTCTCCATTATGTATTCGACATATAATTTTCATTTGGAATCCTTCGATCTCAACTGAAAATTACGCGCGTGTGTGATAATGAGTCAAAAACATGGTTTTGTACGTTGGCAGACTAGAGTTCGAGTGCCATTTGGTGGGTCCCAAGGTTCCTGAATCGCGGCCGAATCTAAATCACTTCTTTCGATTGCAATCATGGAAGTGGGTGTCTTTGCATTCCTTTGATTGTTCTGCGCTGTCGAGGTTGATTTGTAATTGATCTGTTTTCTTAAAGTTAGTTGTTGATGGTATTGGGAAGTGTTAGGATGAAGTGAGATCCAAGCCCTACTCGGTGCCTAATGCGGAAGCGAGCGGCCCGCAGTTTGAACTTTGAAGTCAGGTGCAAGTCTACGGAAAGCCGTAAGAACGAGATGTGCCAGGGAGCTTTGTAAGTCACATGCCTCTGAAATAAATCCAGTTCAAGAGCAGGAAAATTCCAGCGCCGAGTCGATTGTCCATTTGTCCCGTGGCAAAAGTCTTTTATTTGAATCACGTGATATACTAGTTTTGGACCTCATCTTGTCGTCTTTCTCTTCCAGTTGAAGCCAGATTTAGTAAGGGTTAAGCCGCTGGAGCTATTAATACGCAGAAGCTTACTGACTTCATTATCTAAGGGAATTGATGACCCTCGTTCGCCTCAAAATTGCGGTGCTCTTTCTGTGAGAGGTTCGCTAACATCGTGAACACCGATAGGGGGTATTTGAGTCCAGGCCAGGATTTTACATAAAAAGAGAAAATTACACTAAGTTTAATTCCAAGTACTCCGCACGGAGGCCCTTAAATGAGACCAGTCAGGAGCCCAAAAGGGGAGATCAGCTCTAGCTCTCAATCCGGACACGTTGAGAACATCTAAAGTAAGCGATTGTTTGATGTTTGCTGCAGCGAATGTCCGGTAACCCTCTGCCGCAGATAGGCTATAGTCGGGGTCCAAAGTCCATCTCGTCTGCAATTCTCCCAAAATTCATTCACAAAGCTGAGTATAGAATAATAGAATATCACGAATCCTATACCGTATATGACGCCTTGCGAGAAAATGAGAACACTGAGAGTTGTGGCGAAGGACCCTGCGGCAAGCCCTCCAAGGCACAGCGGCCCTAATGTACAATTAATCAACCGATCACATGATAAGAGGGAGGATATTCTCACAACTAACCAATATCATTTGTCTTTGATATTTCGAATACCATTTTATAAAAGGAGTGACAAGCGGGGCTCCTAGGTACGATATCCCTGATGCAACAGTACCTATAATAGGAATATACGGACTGTCGGCGAATTGCGGTAGACTTGTCTTGAAGCTCTACCGGAGAGGCGTAAGCTGTGGAGCTCATTTTTGGAACAATTAAAGTTGAAAATTATTCCAGCTGAAGTATAAAGGATCGAACAAGACTCGGCGGATCTTCCTTAAGTAATATGGAATTTTAAAAATCAATCGTCATTTAGATTTCTGAAGACTTAACATATATAATAGTTGTACCTGGATAAAACCACCAAATTCCATCTTTCAATTACTGGTTACATCTTCATGAATGTCACGGCCTGAAGAGGCTTGTGCGGATAATATGGGTGTATATTGGTATAATAGTAAATGAATGATGGTGCCCTAAAGGCGGGGAAGAAGCTATATATATATCTGTAGTGGCCCGTGCGCAGCACGTGACAATGAATAAATCTGATTGGTTTGGATGTAGACAAAGCGGATGGCTTTCTCTTGGTTGACCCCAGTTAAAGTTTCCTGGCTCCGGCGTATAGAGCAATGTCAAATATTGTCAGCATATGTACAAGATGACGTTATTCTCGCACGGTTATTCTAAGGATTTCCCGACTGGTCGGCGTTTTTGACGGTACAGTATTGTAAAAGCCAAGCTAAGCCATCACCCAAATTTCTCTCTCAAGCGACCATGTCTGCGCTCTCGACCTCCCCTCATCCATTATCAACCGCCATTACCCGCTCATGTATCCTCTCCCAAACCTCACTCCTCAAAAAGATGTCAGAATGACAAGCCCCCTCAACAAGCACAACCTCGACTCTGCAAGACTTCATATCCTTCGCTATTCTCTCCACAGAAGCTGGCCCGAAGAAAACATCCGCATTGCAGATGAACCAAATCAAATCAACCTTACAACTCCTATAAAGCCGCACCAAGTTGTCCACCTCGATACCCGGTACTCTAGAATAGCCCAACCGATAATCCAAATCAAGCCTCTCCTTTCGCAGCCCCATTTCCTTCCCATCCGGTTCATAGCTTTGCAAAACATCTCTTAACCTTTTAGAGTATACAAATTTCCCATCATCAACATGCTCGATTTTCGGACTACCAATCAGCCTCAACCACATTCTCTCCGCCTTTGTATCAGAAAGTTTATCTATTTTCCCCACTGCAGCAAACAGAAACTTAGGCATGGTACACATCCAAGACATAATCTTAGAAGCCGTAAATGGAGCCGGGATATGCGGGGCAATAGGGAATACAATTTCTATCCTTTCTGGATAGCGGTTAATGAGATCGAGTGCCTGATAGACGCCCGCAGAATGTGCTGCTATGCTGATTTTGGCGATAGAGAGGCCGTCTAGGAGTTCGATGGTGACGGAACTTAGTGAGGAGAGGAGGGCTGGGCCTGGTGGAGCGTCCGGGCCGAGGACCCATCTGTCGATGCAGAGGAGGGTGAGGTTGGGATGGGTCGTGAGGAAGTCTTGGAATAGGGTTAAGATGGTGGAAGATCCGCCTGCGCCGTAGCAGAAGAGAAGAGTATATTGGGCTGAGGGATTCAGGCGGATGTACTTGATTTGATGCCCTGGGTTTAAGGCACTGTTGAAAGGGAGAGGTAATGGGAGAGACATCTCAGACTAAGTAGTCTAGAAGTAGATGGTGATGAAGAAGAAGAATGAGGGTGATGATTTTGGCCAAGCTATATCTGAAGTTTAGGCAAAAGTCATTTAATTGTACACACTCCATTCGGCCTATTAGGAGGAGACGATTAGGCCGTCACCTGATGTCATCATGTCATCGTCCCTTATCGCTGCAATTTTCCACTGCGTCCCAGCGCAGCCCGGCGTTCCAGAGGAATCATATAGAAAAGTCTGGCACCTTTTCCTCTGCAACCCTCGTGTCAGGACCATCGAATCACTCTCCCCATTGTACGCAGTTCAATCTCCTGCTGCGTGAATGAAATTCAACCTCTTGTTGCCTTCACGGCCACACCCCGCCCTACGGGCATTCCATCTCTCTTGAACTTGACGAACAACCACTTGAGCTATCATCAGACGAGAAGGAATCGGAAGCCTTCAAGTTGCTTGGGAAGGCGGACGAAATGTTGCTAGTACGCTCTGCGTGATAGCCGCCGCGTGTTGCGCTCGCTAATAAGTGCAGATTCCAAGCAGAACCGATCTGAAGCAAATGTGCGAAGTTTCGAAGACGCTCTAACTTACGAGGCTGTTATCCCGACACTATACGAGAATATGGATATTCAGGCTGACAAATCGTCCTCCCTTACCTCGACCTGCTCAGCATCTCTGTTACACAGCAGTGGAGGCGGAGCGCTGGCACATTCCGAGTTCGATTCCGGGTAAGCGCGTAGCCTGGGGTAATACCGTAATGGGGATTCATCTTCCAAAAGAAGTCAGCATCGGAGCACGCTTACAGCCACTCTCACTAGTCTGTGTTCTTCAGACTGCCTTGGGCCACACTTCACCCCTCGCACCACCTTAATTTACTGGGCTAGCAAAGTCCAACTCCCACCTGTGCGTGGTGCTGGCTACGAACCTGTATTTACCTAGGTATACAGAGCCAACGGGAAACAAGGGCATTCAACTGGAGCTGGTGAGTCTGTTGTATGGTACGGATATCGCGGCATAAAGTCATGCGACTTCAGGGCATGCCTGTCCAAGGTAGACGAGTCGTCCACTACAGGTTCAGATCATAGTGGAGGCTGACGCTAGAAGTGCCTATAACTATAGGCTTACGCCCAGTAAGGTCTTTAGAGGAAAAAATTCCAGAATCAACGATTTTTGAACGTGGGAGTTTAGAAGGGGCAAAACAATTGTTTCTTTACAAAAGCACCCCCTGGAAGGGTACTTAATATAATCTAAAAGAGATTGGCCTCTTCTAGCACGGAATTACACCTTGGGCGGACAATCCGGTTTGGGACGTACGCGAGCTGAACAGGGGGGTGTACAGGGGTTGGCACGGGCACACTAATATTCTATTCAAAGTCGACATGTTTACGCCTGCCATCTTGAGGACTGAAGGGCGAGGTTGAGAAATCGTTGTACTGGTAGCTGCGGAACAATGAGGATATGAAACCGCAGGACGCATAGCTTACTCATTCTATGTATAGTATTGAGTACGCTTTGAGTACGCTTTGAGGATACGTGAGAGGTTCTGAGTGCGGATGATCAACTACATGACGACGCTAAACTTTTGTAAGATACTGCGATATTCGTCATAAGATTGATAACGTGAGTTGGGGTTTAGATGTAAGTATGTCTTTTAGTAGTGTAATATTTGCAAACTTGTAGTAATGTTGGGTGCAAAGAGGGAGAGACTGAGTGTTGAAATTAGGGGCCTGAGGCCCCTAATAGGCTTAGTAAGCCCTGGAACCGAACGCCATGGGGCTGTGCACTAGCTTAATACCCTGTCCAGCTGGAATACCCTGTATAGCTGGAATACCCTGTACGGCTGGAATACCCTGTCCGGCTGGAATACCCTGTATAGCTGGAATACCATGTACGGCTGGAATACCCTGTATAGCTGTAATCGGTTCAGCTGGCATAGGGATTTAGTACATGTGACTTAGGGGGTTCAGGGCTATATATACGGGCTACTTACCACTGTAGAACAGCAGTCAATTCAGTACGTTTTACTTGGTTTACATTGCAAGCACGTGACCCTAGCTTTATTACTTAGCTAGTTCAACACTGAGTTGACTAGAAATTGGTCACGTGATATCACTTTTTGACGTCGAATCATTGTATGCCTTTCACCAGCTATCTTATGCAATTGAGGCATATACTCAATGTTTCAACTTCATTTAGTCGTTAGGATAAGTGACATAAGAGGTATGGTAGCAATATTATGAGTGATGAGCCAAACCCCCTATATTTAGCTGCGCATACAATCACAGTAATATAATTGTGACACCAATTCTAGCCAGACATTCCTATAGCCATTTCCAGTTCTCTTTCTCCTACGAATTAAACCCCCATGTCTTCTCTAGCCCCTCACTGAGGCAAACAATTAAACGCCATCTCCTCCCTCGATTCATACTATTCTCAAAATCAGCTTTCTTCTCTCCCCTTTCCCCTTCCCCCTTCTGCCCCAAAAATTTCAATAAAATTCAACTCACCCTCTGGCAACACCCCGGATATCTCTGATCCGTCACACTCGCAGCAGCGGGACAATACGCCTCAGTACTCGTAATATTCGTCGCCATATCAATTGTTGAATTCAGCGGGGCTGGCCCACAGAAAATTGCCAAGTCGGTTGCACTCCCGGTTTCGTAAGGAATATATGCGCCGCAGCACACAGTGAGAGGGAAGGTAGAGTTGCAGGAGAATGCTGTGGTGGTGGTGGTGAGGAGGGGCAGGAGGGGCATAAGAGAGGTGGTTGAGAAACGCATTTTGGGTGGTTTGGTTTGTGAATTTGTGAGTTGGGGATTGTGGAGGAGGGGTTTAAATTGATGGAGGAGATGATGATGGGATGGGGGAAGCTTTGTGCGGAGGCAGGGAATTATAGAAATTTCATAAGATTGAATGAACGCTGTGCCTCACGGTGCCTGTTTGGCGAGCCCCTTTCCCCACCCTCGGTAATTTGCTGACCCAAAAATGACTCAAGACCAGGAACATGGAGTCACTCGGCGAAGACCCGATTTCAAGGCTTTCCTTGGTTGCATTAGCAAGGGTAGATACAATGCGAGATTGAATTGCGAGATTTGAGAGAGTAATATATGTTGTTTGTGTTGACTCGCATGAAACTTAAGATGTCGTGGTAATGACTCGCCCCCTTATGGCTCGCTTATTTACTGATCGACACAGGCTTATGGCCAACGCAGCATAGTCACCCCTTGTAAAATGGATTTACTTTGTAAATTTTGTCTGGGTGCGATGCCTCTATACAACTTTTATCCTTCTTCCGGACCGCAATGGCTCAACACCTCCTCGTAGTTCGGTCTGGTAACCTGTATCTCTTCGGAAGTACAGGGCTAGGATTGAGTCAAAATTTGGGGATGGATCCGTCTTAGGCCGGAGGCTGTACGGTGAAAACTCAACCTTATATAGACTAGCGCCCTGTATATTATATTTAGCTAAGTATGGGACCGTTCGGATCAGGATTATAGCTGGCCAATCATATGGCGGTATTAGTAGTACAGATTAAAACCTTAATTATATAGGAATATTACAGATTAATCTGGAAATAACTTTACTTTTCTCTATAATTGCCCTTAAAGTATATAGAGCCCCTCTTAATAAATTGAATTTCGTTAAGTAGTAGTAAATAAGTAATACCCTAACTACTATATAGCCGCTTTATAAAGAGGCTAGATCGGCCCTGAGAGATATCTATATATACTATAGTCGGGAGATTTAAACTCGGTATAAGTTCGTTTATTATCTATAAATAAACTAAAATAAAAAAGATAACTAATTATAGACCCAAATTTATAGCTATTATAGCTTCTAATACTCGGATTTTGCCTCTCTCTTTATATACTACCTATAGTATCTCGAAAACCGTATAGTAGAATATACTAGAAATAGATAATTAGCTAGTTAAAATAAGTTTATAATAATATTATAAGGTATTTCAGGAACTCTTTTCGGAAATAGAAACTGAAATAGCTAACTAACTATATCCAGGAGCTAACGAGTAACCTAAAGTACTAACTAACTCTTAATCTACTAGCCTAGTAAAGTTATAGACTAGCTAGGTAAATAAGATTAATAAAACTACTAAAGCGAAATAAAAGAAGAAACTTCGGAGAGAAAAGGCAAAGAAAAAAGAGTATAAAGGAAAGTCAAAGTCTAAATTAGAAAAAGGAAAATATATAAGATTTATAAAAAAACCGAAAAGCCCTTATAACTATTATAGAGCTATATTTTACTAAATAAAAGATTATCTAGAGCCAAAAATAATTCCAGATTATAAGAAGCTAGTACTAGAAAGTATAGTAGAGACTTAACTAGTAAATAAACTAGTAGAAACCGAATTATTAGAAATAATAGAAGAAACTTTATATAAGATATATAATAATAAGGTAATATATAAGTAATTAAGGTAAATAAGCTATAAAGTAATACTTATAAATATAACTAATTCCAAGAATTAATTCTAATAAAAGACTAATTAATATTTCTTTTTAAAGCTAAAAATGCTTCCTTATATATTTCCTAGTATTTAGCTAAATATATAAAGCCTTTTATTTAACTAGGAAATATAATTCTATATAATTTATATAATTCCGATTATAAGCTTTATTTAAAATAGAAAACTAGATTTATAATATTTAATATCTATTTATATACTATTATATATATCTATTATATTAACTCTTTTTCTAAGTTATTATTTCTATAAGGCCTAAGAAAACTATAAATAGCTTTATAAATAACTCTCTAAACTTTCCTAGCTACTAGTTCTTTCTAAAAACTTCTTATAAATACCCTATTATTATACTAGATAATAGAATTAAAAATATAGCTTACTAATTTTATTTAGTTAACTTATAAATTACCTCTAGTAATTTCTTCTTATAAAAGTAATATAAATATAATATATATTATTAGATATAAAGCTCTTCTGGTTTCCTAATTAGTTTATAAATCCTAACTTAGCCTCTATTTGCAAATAAATTATTATTTTATAGGCCTAAAAGCTTAGAAAAGTTAATCCGATGTTCTAATTTATTTATAAATTTATTTATTGAAATTTTCTAGATATTTCTAGTATAAAGCTAGTTCCGAATTTGTAATTACTATTCGGAAAAAAAGTATTATAAAAAGGCCTTCTTTTTTCTATTAATTAATCTTCTTTTTCCTTTATAATATTATATCTAGCTTTTTCTTATTTCTTATCTTTCTTTTTTAAGCTTTTTAAGCTCTTTTAAATTCCTTTAAATTTCCTTTAATCTTTATTTAAACTCTCTTCTAATTCTCTCTTTTATTTCTTTATTTATTAAAATAAATACTTCTCTTAGTACTTATTAGCCTATTACTACTTATTTGGCTAATACTTCTATAGCCTTAATTTGCTCTTATTATTTTTAATATTCTAAGAATATTATTAAATTTTCTAATCTTATTTATATTAAGAGTAATAACTATTTAATATATAATTACTATTATTCTAAGAATAAGAAATATAATCCTATAAACTATAAATTTCTTTTTTTATTTTCTATTCTAATATTATTTAAGTTTTTTTTTAAATATATATAATATAATTAAACTGCTTTCTTTAAGCTATTAATATATATAAGTATTTTTTCTAATCTTTATTTAAAAGAAAAAAGGCTATTATTATTTTTCTTCTATATTAAACTATATATACTTCTTATATTAAAGCTATTATTTAAAGCTAATGAATTCTCCTAATAATTTAAGAAATAGATTAAATAATTCTTATTAGCTTAATATAAATATAAAATACTTTTAAAAGTATAATTAATATTTTTTAATATTAAGTAAGCTTATTTCTCTCTTATTTTTTATTAATAGCTAATAGCTTTCTAGGCTAATTTACTATTTATTTCTTAAGAAAATCCCGATAAAGATAATAATAAAAATAGTAAAAAATAGTTATAAAAATAGAATATTTATAAGATATAGAAATTAAAGTTTTTAGAGTTTTTAATAATTTTTATATAATTTTTCTAAAAATAAATATATAGTTTTTAATAGTTTTCTAATAAAAGTATTTATCTTTTATATTTCCGTTTAACTAATAGTATTATAATATTATTCTTTTCTAAATATTTTTATAATTCTTAAATTATATTTTCTGAATTATTTAGTAGTTTCTATATATTATCTACTAGTAAATAGTTCTTCTAATAAATAAGATATTCTCTTTTTTTTTCTATTTTCTTTATAGGCTATAATAGATTTTATCTCGAATTTATTTTTATTTTTAATCTTAACTGGTTCTAATTTTACTATAGTACTAGCTTGCAAGTACTATAGTTTTAAGAAAGAAATATAGAAAATATTATAGATCTAATATAATAATAGTAATTCCAAATAGTATATCTATTTATATATTTTTATAACTTCTAGAATCTTAAAAGAGCCAAAATATCTATTTATTAGCTTTATACTAGGTTATAGCTATTAAATGTTTTTTATATAAAGTATAACTTTATTATATATATTAAATTTCTTATTAATATATTTTTTATTATAATATTTTTTATTATAATATTTTTTTTTATATATCTACTATTTCTTACTATTATTTTTCTAGTACTTCTTATTCTATTTGAATTCTTTATACTCTTTCCTATATTACTAATACTTCTTTTTCTGAAATATTATTCTTAATATATAGTTTAATACTAGAATAGAATTTGTATAATATATAAAATAAAGAAATTTCTATTATTAAATATATAGAATTATTATATAAAAATTCTATAAAAATAAGCTTTACTATCTAGTTATTTTACTAATAGCTAATATAATACTTTAAATATTATTTTAGAGTTTAATTTAGATTTTTCATTTATTTATTAGTTTATAAATAGAATATTATATTTAGCTATTATTAAATCTTTAAATAGAAATATAAACTTAATTAAAACTTACTTATAAAAACAGATTCTTTATTAGAGGTTATATTTATAAGTATACCGAAATCTTTAATAATATAATATATAAATAGCTTTACTAATTCAGGAACTAAAATCTCTTTAGTAATTAAAATATATTATATTATTTTTATATATTTATTAATAATAATAAATATAGAATTATATATCTTATTATAAAATTTAGAAAAGAATAGTTCTATAATAAAGTCTATAGTAATTTCTTATTATAGCTTAAAAGAGAAAGGAAATAAACTAAATATACTATATAGTAAATATTTTTTTATCTTAATTTATTAATATATAAAATAAGTTCTAATATAGTTTTTTATATTCTTTTTTATATTTTATTAGAAGTACTTTTTCTAGAGAATCTCTAGTATTTTACTAGTACTAAAATGCCTATTTATAGAATTATTATAGTTAGTTTATAGTAATTTTTCTTTAAAAGCCGATTTATTTAATATATAAATAGTATTTTAATATCTTAATAACTTAGATATATTAAATTCCCAAGTCTTAATAGCTCTAGTAAAGGTTTCTTTTAAGAACTATTTATACTACTAATATTATACTAATAGATTAAGCTTTTAGTATTATAATAGTAGTTTAAATAATATGTTTTTATTTTTCTTATATATTATTTCGGACCTAACTATCTATATAGCTAGAATCCGTAGTATATATTATTTATAACTAGTTATACTAGTAATAGGCTCAAGTAGTAGTATTTCTAGTATTATTCCGTTACTAAAATAGACTTTCTTTTCGGAATTCCTTAATATCTTACTAATTAAGAAATACCTATTTTCTTTTTTTTGGGCCTTATATTATAATATTATAGAAATAGTATAATATTCTATTACTGCTATTTATAGGACTTTCTATTCTGCATTTTATAGCTTATTATAAAGTATAAATAATAAAGTATTTTTATTTATATCTATTATAAAATCTAGTTTTCTTAATAGTCTATTAGTAAAATTATTATATCTTAGCTAGTATTCTAAAACGAAGTTAAAAACAGTTAGTTTCTTTACCTATTTTATTTATTAACTATTTAGTTTTCTTTTAGTTATAAAGTATTTTAAGTTATTATAATTTATTTTAATAATAATATATTAGATATATACTAGATAATATTACTAAATATAAAATACTAGAATAATAGCTAAGAGTTTAGAATTATATATCTTATATCTATTCTTAATTATAGTTATTTTCTTTAAATAGAAAATAATAAAATATTATTTGATTTCTATTTTTTTTCTAAAAAGCTAGAAAATTATTTCTATAATTATAAATCCTGAAATATTTATTTCTATATAAATTTTTAAGGCTAGATCGAAATAATAAAGAATTAATATTATTATAAATATAATTTATAATTCCCTAAAAGCCTTATTTACTTTATTTATCTAACTAAAATAATATTATAGGTTTTTACTAGTTTTTAATAAATTAATTAACTCTTTTATTACTTTGGAATATTTATAAATAAACTTCTAATAGAAATTAGTAAAACCCAGAAATACTTGGATTTCTTAGATATTATTCTTTGGGACTAGCTATTTCCTAATAGCTATAACCCGGCTGGCTTCTATTTTTATACTATTTAAACTAATTATAAATTCCAGAAATTTTTTTTTTATATTAAATTTATATTTTACTAAGTTTATAAAAAGCTAGTATTATTATAACTACTCGAATATATATTAGACTACTATTATATACTATTCTGAATTCTCTAAATAAATTAAAATATTATCTAAATAATATTTATAAGGTCTATTAATATATAATTAATATATATCTGAAATATTACTAGAATATTAGAAAGTTCAAAAAATATAATATAATATTTAAAATATTTATAATATATTTAGAATACTATTTTTTATTTATTACTTTCCTGTATTTATAACTAATAGTAAATATCTTTTAAGTCTAGCTTTATATATACTTTTATTTTATAAAACCTATTTATTATCTTATTAATAAATAGTAATAGTATTCGGTTTTTAATAGTAATTCTATTTAGACTCTAGTAATTAATATATAGATATAGGCTATTTCTTTTCTTTAGAATAAATATAATTGAAATATTAGCTAGGCTAATAAAATAATAGATCTATTTCTTTTTTAAGCTAATATTAAAATATTCCTAAAAGACTTTAAGTTCTTTTTCTAATAAAGTATATATAAGACTATATAATAGTTAGAACCTTGGTTCTAGATTTATATAATATTCTATTATATAATAGTTAGATAATATATCTATAGCCTCTATAGAGAATATTCGAAAAAGATTCTAATATTTCTTAGAAAATATAATTATTTCATTTATAATAATAGTAATAATTCTTTAGCTATTTATTATAAAATAGGTAATTAATAGAAAAATATATATTTTATATTTTATTACTTTAGTAAACTTCCTAATATTTAGAACTTTAATTTTCTATAATTAAATCTAATATCTCTATATTACTTTCTTAAAGGAAATTAGGAAATTAACTAGATAGAGCTATAAAAATCCAAATATTATATTAATATAGTTTAGATCGAAATTATATAATATAAAATATATATTAGTTTCTTTTTAGTTCTCTAGTATATTTTTAGTAATAATTCCAAGAATATAATCTCTATATAAATAAATTCTTTTTTCTTCTAATAAGATTAAAAGAATTATTTTTAATATTAATAAAATATCTATATCTAAAGCTAATCTTCTTTTTATATAATTAGTTTTCTATATTCGAATTAACTAATATTCTAACTCTTTATCTATTTTTTCTTATCTTAATAATAACCTTAATTATTATTCTTGTTTTAGGAACTTTATTCTCTATTATATAAATAAATATAACTATTATAGAATATATTTATTTCCCGGCTTTTATAGTTCTAAATACTTATATATTTTATAGCTAGACTTATTATAGTTATAATAAATCAGTTTCTTCTGATTTAAGTAAATAGTAATATAATAAATTTTCTTCTAATAAATAAAATAAATTATATCCGGTTTTATAAATCCCGATATAAATACTATATTAGACTTTATTACTATATCTTTACTATTTCTGTTTTATAAATCTTATAATAAAGATATATTTCTTTTCTATTTTCCTTTATTATTTCCTTTCTCTTTTCTTCTATTCTTTTTTTTTACTATTCTATTAGCTTATTATTATATTTCTATTAAATAAATAGGTTTAAATTATTCTTAATTCATTCCGAAAATAAACGCTGCCAGGACGCAGCGTTTTTTTCTGCCGGTGCACGTGACCAGCATGTGCCACACGCGAATAGCTATATTCCTCACTGGCATAGGCCATTTGGGAATGGCTATATATTCCCCACTAGTATAGCTTATTTAAAGAATGGCTATATTCCTCACTGGTATAGGCCATTTGGGAATGGCTATATATTCCCTACTAGTATAGCTTATTTAAAGAATGGCTATATTCCTTACTGGTATAGGCTATTTGGGAATAGCCATATTCCTCACTGGCATATCCCATTTGGGAATGGCCATATATTCCCCACTGGCATAGCTTATTTGAAGAATAGCCATATTCCCCACTGGTATAGCTTATTTAGAGAATGGCCATATTCCTTACTAGCATAGGCCATTTGGGAATGGCCATATTCCCCACTGGCATATCCCATTTGGGAATGGCCATATATTCCCTACTGGCATAGGCCATTTGGGAATGGCCATATATTCCTCACTGGGAGGTGCCATATACGAATAGCCATATTCTTTACTAGATAAAAGAATATATTTAGAAAGGCTATATAAAGATTACTAGTAACGAAAGTAAGGAAGCTACTTAATAAGTAATTAATTAATTAGTAAATAATTAATTAAGCATACGGGATTCTTATTAGTTAGCCCTTCCCTACTGCCCAAATTTTCTGAACGAGGGGTAATTTTCTTAAAAACGCTGCCGCAAGCGGCAGTATTTATTTTACCTTGCGAATATTGAAAGTTCGGTCTTTACAGGGCAAAAAAAACGCTGCCGCCAGCGGTAGCGTTTTCAATAGCGGGGTAAGTAGTAGTTTATTATTATTATTTGAGATAGCTCGCCCGCAACGAGATATTTCCTTGAACGGAGAATGAGGAGCTACTATTAGTATATTATACTATAACTCTACTAATTTTTTCTATAAGAAAAATGCTCGTTATTATCGTAATAATTAATTAAAGGGGCCTTGCGATCGGGCGCACGCTTCACTCGGGTGAGGGATGTGCGCGCTAGCCGCATCTTGGGCGCAGGTGCGGCAGCGTTTTTTTTGTGGTGATAATCTTACATTCCTGCCGCACGGTGATGGCATACTGGGCCTGATGAAGAAATAGAGCACATCGTCGATTCCAGAGAGAGAAAGTAGACTTAGGAATATAATAATATGCTTTTGGACAGAGGGCTCTTTCAATAGCATACTTCCCAGGTGTTTCTCAATCCATGAGATCAATTGGTGCACTGGTAATCTTGCAAGGCTTGCATGGTAGGGCTTTCTCGACAGGCGGACTGCCGCAGCTCAACGTCGCCCAGCATGATGCTTCAATCCAACGACAAGTATCATGGTCTTCCGTGAACTAACCAGACGCTGGCCACATACCTGATGTCCATCACTTTTGGAAGTGTTGGGGATATTATCGCAGTGGGCCAGATTGCATATGCACTCGCCCAGGCGCTGAAAGACTCGTCCGGATCAGGGAGGGAATACCAGGGCCTCGTGAAGGAGCTACAGACCTTTGACCAAGCGCTGTTGCAGGTGAGTGGTTGAGACGAAAGTACAGGACTGGCTGGTGACAATTGAATAGGTGGTTGCGTTATGGCAGAACTACGAAAACAGCCCCGAGTTAGAAGCGTTGGGGAAGACGACGAAGGAAGCGATCGAGGACTGGAGGGACACATTACTTGCGTTTCGGCTGAAAGTTGATAAGAAATATGGCGCGAGTCTCTGTACAGGAGGATCAGGAAATTGGCTCAAAGATGCCTCCAAGAAAGTGGCGTGGTTGAAGGAAAAGGAGGATGTGTTGGAGTTAAGGAGGAAACTGCAGTCGGCGAGTGATGTCCTCACTCTGTTGATTCTTACCGCCATGGGGTGAGCAGTAATTGAGCATAAGAACGGAGTGTTTGGCTGATGCATACGTATAGGAAGTCGAATCGTCTCGACAGTACAGCACAAGAAGTCCGTGTCGAGCTAGTCTACAGTCTCCTACAAGAATCCGTCAAGCGTGCCGAGGAGCAGATGACTCAACTAAAGCTAATGAATGAAAAGCTTGAATCCCAGGCTAGGACGTCGAACATGATTTTGAGTACCGTGAAAAGTGGAGTGACAAAGCTGTAAGACTTGAATGCTTGTCCAGGAGCTCAGAGCTAATAAATTTTCTAGAACACAAGTACATGCTATCTCAGTAGACATGAGAAATGATTTGTCATTACTTCAAAGCCATATTTTGGCCCAACACGCTACACCAAGAGGCCTAGGGACTCATTGGCAACAAGAGCCTGTAACTTTAGAGGACGCACTCGGATTCATGGTTCCAATTCCCTTGGAGCTAGTCAATTCTTGGGAGGTTAGTGTCTAGGTTCCTTTTCAGTGGGATGAACCTAACTTCAAGGTTAGATGTTCGACCTGATTCTTGCCAAACGTTTTGAAAAGCATCCAGGCCACATTAAAGTCCAACACAAAGAGTTTGTAATCGAGGAAGGTAGCAGTGGCAAAGAAGTTAGTCGGATGACAGACTGGTCCATGTGCTTCCGTCCTGGACAAAAGGTTGATATGAGCGTTGTATTCCAAGAAAGGTCCGCCGACAGTAATCATTGTCCCCGTTGTAAAACAAGATCAGAGTTATCTTCCGAGGTCCGGATTCAATGGTAAGTGCAAGTGCGTTTCTTGTAGCAGCAAATATCTAAGACTATGGACAGTGCGTCTTGTAACATGTGGTTTCAGCGGATTACTGAAGTTGAGGAGAGTGATGGAAATCATGACGTACCTGATATTCCTAGAAAACACTTTAGGGTGCCCCAGAGAGCTTGCGGTCCTGTTCTTAGTCCTGCGGACTTCAAGAGGGTGCGAATGTTGCGTAAGCTGCTGATCGCGAGCCATATGATGGCACGTGGGGAGATGGGTAAAGAAGTGGCGAAGAAAAAGGAGCACTTCAAGTTTGAGGCACCTTCTCTCGAGCCCACCTCTACCTCTAATCCTTCGCCTAAATCTCCAAATACTTTCGTCCCTTGGTCACCACGGTCGGCTTCATATCTGACTAAACATCGAAAGACGACGTCGAGGACTAGAACAGCAGATGAAGATGGTGGGAGCAGATTCAGTGGAAAACCGGTTATTGGTACGTTGTTGGGGGCTGCTGCTGGAGCGGCTTTTGCCTACGCCATGGTGCGCTCGGAGTCGCCTGAGCCTCGTCAGCAGGATACTTCGAGTAGTTTCAGACAGTCTCCATCTCCTGTCACTGATGACGCCCAAAAATCTGCTGGCGCTAAGATTATTATTTCGCCACCGGACTCGGAACAAAATTCGAGCGACGACGCCCACGATGAGGATACCGAAGTGCAAAGAGGTCAGCCGTTAGAACACTTAGCTGAGCTACAAACTGCTATCCGTGTCATAGAGCAACACCGAGAGAGCTCGGCCAACCAGACAGCAGAGGAGTTTGTAGACGCAAATGAAGGCACTGGCCAGGAGAGCGATGGGTGGAGTACCGTCAAGCCTCGAAAGGACTTCGGTGAGGAAGATGCTGAGAGGTTCAATTCACGTATGGGCTTTGATCAGCATTTGCATGCTCCCTCACCTTTTAATTACTCCTTATTTAACTTTGGCGGGTATTCTGGCACAGATGAAAATTCGACTGGATCCTACGATTTCCTGCCTCCCCCGAGTTTCGATGAACCGCGCCCAGCAAAGACCGGGTCGATATTACGGAGGGACCAGCGACAAGAGCGTGAGCCAGAATGGATGGACCAGGCGGCAGAGGATGAGCCAGAATGGATGGACCAGGCGGCAGAGGATGAGCCGGAATGGATGGACCAGGCGGCAGAGGATGAGCCAGAATGGATGGACCAGGCGGCAGAGGATGAGAGCCCCATGCACACTTATGAGGAGTTTCAAGATTGGAAGAAAAGAATACTAGCCGCCGAGGCCAAGCAACGATCAGAGATCCAGGGCCCTCTCTAACGGATTCTATGACACTTATGACGAGTGGAAGTGGTGAAAGCTCTACGACTGCCTCGATTTTCAGTACCTTTACAACCAGTTTCGAAGCCGTGAAAAGGAGGACCTTTTCTCCTAGACCCGGATCGTCTCATAAGCGGTCTACCAGTCAAGCTTATTTGCCGGAGACAAGTTCATATCAACCAACTTCACCAAGCACGAGAACAGGAAAGTGATGCTTTCACTGCAGTGGAAGAGATAGAGAATGTGCTCACATGAGCTAAGTGTTCGTCTATTACACGTTTGCCTCTCCAAGGCTGAGCTGACATGTTGCTGCAGTTCTCGATGCTATTGAGACAACCCCCTCTGATCCAGGACCTGGATGTGCCTTTTAACCTCGAGTTCAGACGCACTCACTCCATCGATAAATTCCCAGAGGACTTGGCCGAACATCTGGGCAAGACGAGAAACGAGAAAGAGACATATTTCGTGTCAATGAGTCCAATACTCGAATGGACAATTCATATAGCGGGGCAAAAATGAAAGGATAGAGGTCGGGATGAAGTAGTCGGCCTTGCTATATTGGACGCCAAGAAACTGCAGCAGAACTCGGGTACGACCATTTTCCGTGTCTCGGATGTCCTCAGGTTTCTCGCAAGCAAAGGTAAGGACTCTCTCGTCGAACAAGACTTCTAAGAATGAGCGCGAAATTGCGACGAGTATATATCGGTGGGTAAAATTTCTGATAATGGATTAGTGACGTGGGTTATGTGGGAAGAACTATATCTGTCGCCTGCAAATATCCTTTCAAACAAGTGCTTTGTGAGGGCTTAGAACCTTGGATGGTATCGTAAATGGATACAAGAACACCAACAATATATTGAGCTAGAAAATTTCTGTCAGAGGATAGTCGAGTTTGGGAAGGTTTTAACTGGGCCACAAGACGATCTTCTTTCCCCATTGATCGAGTTGGTACTCAGTCCGGGAACTCAATTTTGGGGTTTCATAATTGAATTATCCGAAGACGTTCTTGTAGTAAAATTACGGGCACTCGTTAATGAAACGGCTCTGCAGAGACTTTCTAGCCCTAGTATATAAGATTAAAATAATACTCTTTCAACCCTCTTGTGCCATTACTATCAACTTAGACAACTGCAAGGGGACTTAAACAATTGTACCTAGTAGACTTTAGGCAAAAATAGCGCAAAGTGGTACGGTATACTTCCAATGTCTGTAGCAGAAGCCGATTCGGCTGGCGACTGAAAGCATTCGTGAAATATTCGCTGATGACGGTCCACCGGGTCAGTTGCAGACTGCTGACACAGCAGAGCCGTAGAGGCGGCGATGAATTTCCTAAAAGCAGCGTACTCCTGATCAGAGAGCAGTTATAGCCGAGAGCCATTTCGGCGGCCTGTCGTCACTTTCTCCTGAACGAAAACCTACCCCGCCTCTTAAGTAGAACATTAAGTAAAAACAATTGTAAACTGAGTGGTTCACTTTGTTATTTATACTACTAGAATTTCTAGTTATAAGAATATTGTTAAGGTGCTCAAAATTCATGGTATAGTATAATAAGATTGAGTTTAAAGACGACTAAAGTATAATTAATAAAGCCTTATAAAAGCTCTCTTAATATATATATACAAGTATGAATCAAAAATGGTTGAAACTTAGTATTAGGGGGGTATAAGCCCAATAATATCAATTTGCATTGAGATTTTCGTAATGTACCTATTTACTAGGGAATTCTCGCTATATAGGGATGTCGTATAACCGAAGTCTCATACCAAAACACGTCCCGTATCAAAACATACGAAAAACACGTTTAATACCACGACCAAAATGCGTAATAAATTCATTAAATCAAGTTATATTAATAAGGTAGTAGCTATAATTCAAAGAGGGAAATTTACTTATTATATTAATATAGTTAAAAAGTTTAAATATAACTATATTATTATTTCCAGATAAATTCATAGCCTTATAAAATTAAAGAAAAAAGCGAATTTATTTTAGTACTAATATTTAACTATTAAATAAGAGAAATATTTAATTTATTAAATTAATATTCTTACTAATTAAGAAATATTACTAATTAGTTATATTATTAAAATTTTTATAGAGAAAATTAAGAAAGAACTATTAGAAAAGAACTAGGTTAGCTAATTTATAAAATATTACTTTATTAGGCTAAAGAGCCTTTATTTATAAAATATTAATAATTTATATACTAGTACTAAATATATTCTAATATTTTAATTATTTTTTAGTATAATTTATTACTTTATTATTATTATTTTATATATATATTACCTAGGTATTTACTAATATATATCTGCTTTATTAGCTTATAATAATAATTAATAAATAATAAATTATAGCTGAAAATATATATAATTATAATAAAAAGAAGTTCTTAATAAAATATAAATAATCTTTAAAAAAAATTATAACTAAAGCTATTCTAGAATTAAGTTAAATCTCTAAGTTAAAATAAAATAAAAGCTATAAATTTATTAGTATTTTAGCTTATATATTTATAATTAGAAAATAAATACTATTATTTTTAATATATTAAAGCAAATCGGAAAATCTTATAAGTATATAGATTAATAAAATTATAACTAATTTAAAGCCCTATTATATAGTTTTATATAATAAATAATTAAATAATATAATTAGACTATTTTAGCTTTAAAATATATTTAAATAATATATTAAACTATTATATATAACTTAAAAACGTTTTTATTATTATATATAGATATTTAAGTTATATTAATATAGTATTATAATATAATATTATTATTATATTATAATAATAATATATAAATAGATATAAAAGAAAAGAGATATAGTATAGGTAACTAAAGCTTAAATATAATAAATATAGTTATATAAGCCTATATATAATTACTAGTATATAATTTCTATATAATATATAATATAATTTTATTAATTTTATTCCTATATATAACTTACTAGCTTTAGCTTTTTAATATTAGACTTTTTTAATTATTATTTATTATATATTTTTAGAAACTTAATATAATAATAAATAAATTAGACAGGTTTTATAAAGTATTTATTAATAGGTAATAAGATAATAAAATGAATTAGTTATAAACTATAGTATTAAATTTAGTATAGAACTAATCTCTATCTTTTCTATAAGGTCCAGAGAAGCTTTCTCTAAATAGGAGGCCCTAATAATATATATATATAATTAGTAATTTATAAGCCTAATACTTATAATATAAATAGTAATTAGTTATAATATTAAAGGGCTATTAATTTCTCTAATTAATACTCGTAATATTCGAGGTTTATTCTATATTTTTAAGTTATATATAACTTTATATATATTATAATTATACTTCTTTCTTAGGATCTTGTCCCTAAAATCTATTAATCTATTCTAGTAAATATTTAATTATTTAATTATTTAATTAAGGTAAACTTCTAGTATCTTAGGAAGTAATCTTATTAATATAATCTGGGTAATAGATATAAAAATCGTCCAATTAGATTAGGGCTAAATAAGTAAAAAGGAAGAATAATTATATCTCAGATATAGAGACTAGCTAGTAATTACGATTTCGTTTAGAAACTAAGTATTTTAATTAGTTTAATCTAAAATACTAAGATATTACTTTATAAAATTATAATGGCTAGTATTACATGATTGGTTTTAGCTAAAGGGGTTGGTTTCAGCTAAGGTTCCAAGCTATGATTCAAACCAAGCTTGCTTCCAAAGCTCGGCGTTTCAGTGGTCTTGGCCATACCTACTTATCCACTGCCACACCTCACTCCTTCCTCCTTAGCTTTAAATTCTCAAGATATAGGAAATTATTAATCTTTAAGCCTCGTTCCATTACTCTATTCCTGCCATTACAAAAATTAATATTATTTATTAGATCTCGTATTAGAATAATCTAAATAGCTATATAAAAAGAATTTAATAAAATATTTATATAAGAAATCTATATAAATATTTCTAAGGTTCTAGAGATTATTTATAGGCTTCTAAAAATATATATTAATTAGTTATACTAATTTTTGATTAGGACTAATATAAAAACTAATAATTAATTTAAGTAGTTCTCTATTTCTATAAAAAAATCTCTTTATATTATTATATATTCTTTTCCTTTCTAATAATTATATATATAATAACTTCTTTTATTATTACCTTCTAGCCTCTTTTTCTATTCTTCTTTAAGTCTTCTTTAATTATTTTTAATTAATTCTATAATATTTTCTAGCTTTATTATCTACTAATATAATTATAAATATAAAAATAATCTTATAGCCTTCTTTTCTATTACTAGTAAATATTTTGAAATATTTCAAGTATTTACTTATTAATTTCTTTATTTTATATACTATAATATCTAGTAAAAAGAATTATAATTATTATAATAAAAGCTCTAAATCTTATATATTATTACGAGTATAAAATCTAGGGCCTAAAAGGCGTGATTAGACTATCTCTATTTTAATAATTTAAAGCTAAAGAGAGAAAAGAATCCCGAAGAAGCCTTGGATCTAAATAATCGCGAGCTACGCACGGGCCCACGTGCTAGCTTAAGCTCGGGATCACGTGTAATAATTAGGTAACTATAGATATCTCGCTTAGATATTAGATATTTCTCTAGCTCTAGTCTAATTCCTATTAGTACTATATATTATAATAACTATAATATATATTAGTAAGTTCTTTAGCTTTAATATTTATTAAAGCTAATATAATTTCAGATTTCTTATTATTTATTAGAGGCTTATTAGTTCTAGGAAAATACTATTATAACTTTTAAAAAATTTCTTAAAAAATATTCTAAATAGTATTATACTAATATAGATAATATTATTAATTAGATTTTTAAAAATTAGAAAAAGCCTAATAAGCTTCGGAATTCTTTTTCTCGTTTTAATAAAATAAATAATAATATTATTTAAATTAGTATCCTAAAAATAAGTTTTTCTAATATATTTAGATATTTACTAATTTCTTAAAGAAATAC